CTTCTTGGTTATTTCGGTAAAGTCACGTAGAAGGGAAATAATAAAATAATAAAAATAAAACATAATAAAATAATTCTCACGACGTTTCGGCCACAACGCAAGCAGCCGTCCTCAACATTTCAGGGGGAGGAGTGGGGTGATATATCTATTATTGCACATCTGAGTGTGCCTGTGCTTTACATTATCACCACCACCACCATCATCATCATCTTCCATGGTCAACCCAAGCCTTCCCCCCCCCCCCATCTCTCACGGTCCTGCCTGTGACCCCAGACCTGAGCCTGGCCCTCGGATTTAGTGAAACTCCGCGTGACCACCACCACCACCACTTACTTCACCCATGCCGGTCAGCTGTGCTGGTTGGTGAAGCTGATCGCCGGAATGCACCACCACGTTACACTCAGATGACCCCCTCCCCACCCCAGCAACTCGGGAGCTATCCAGTCACACGGTGGGCACACGATTGATGTGCCTGCACCGATTACATTACCGCATTGCAATGTCAATGTTCACTATTTTTGTTAACCGTTACAACATGCAGCTGTCAATATGCAAAGGCGGTGTGTTACGTATTGCTCGTGTGCTATTACACTGGGGTCGGTGAAGCGGTGAGCTTGGCTATCCATGAACCAGGCTGACCTATCCCTTCACTGCACTCACAGCTGTCTAACCAAAAGGTCCCACCCCGTGTTCTTCTACGTGGAAATTGAGTTTTAAGGTCCATACGGCGTACAGCCGTTTCAATAGGTGCACACAAACAATGTGTTTTTGTCCATTTGTTTGTGTTTCTACCTTGTGAACGTTGAGATGTATAACGGCACGGGGTGACCAATAAGGTCTGAATTGGTCTGTAATAAGTTAGGGGGTTGTTGACAAGTACGTGTGGTGACCAGCGTGGTGAAGTATGGTCAAACAACCCCCGTGATCAACACGGTGTGGGGGGGAAGCCTTTTAAGCCAGCAGCGGTAAACATTATCGCCCTTTACAGAGTGGCTTAATCTTATGCCAATTGGAAATTGTGACCAACCACAAACCTTTATCAGAGGGCGACACTCGTAGGGGTACTGTGAATAGTAAAACGAGACGTATTCAAGCTCTTTGTCAACCCACCACCGTCAGTCACGGAGTTTGATTGACCATACTTCACCCAAGTGATGGGTGAGTGGGTGAATGAGTGGGTGGGTGAGTGGGTGGGTGAGTGGGTGAGTGGGTGAGTGAGTGGGCGGGTGAGTGAGCGGGTGAGTGGGTGGGTGAGTGGGCGGGTGAGTGGGTGGGTGAGTGGGTGGGTGGGTGAGTGAGTGAGTGGGTGGGTGAGTGGGTGGGTGAGTGGGTGGGTGAGTGGGTGAGTGGGTGGGGGGTGAGTGGGTGGGTGAGTGAGTGGGTGGGTGAGTGATGGATGAGTTGGGTGGTGGGTGGGTGGGTGGTTGATGGGTGGGTGGTGGGTGGTTGGTGGGTGGGTGAGTGAGTGTGGGTGTTTGGGGGTGGGTGGGTGGTTGGTGAGTGAGTGGGTGGGTGAGTGAGTGGGTGGGTAGTGGGTGGTGGGTGGGTGGGTGAGTTGGGTGGTGGGTGGGTGAGTGGGTGGGTGATGGGTGGGGGGTGAGTGGGTGGTTGAGTGGGTGGAAGTGTGGGTGGGTGGTGGGTGGGTGAGTGGTGGGGGGGGGGGGGGGGGGTGAGTGGTGGTGAGTGTGGGTGAGTGGGTGGGTGGTGTTGGGTGGGTGGGTGGGTGGGTGAGTGGGTGAGTGGGTGGGTGGGTGAGTGGGTGGTGGGTGAGTGGGTGGGTGGGTGAGTGGGTGATGGATGGTGAGTGGGTGGGTGAGTGAGTGGATGGTTGGGGGTAAGTACGGGTGAGTGGGTGGGTGGGTAAGGTGGGTGGGTGGGTGAGTGGTGGATGGGTGGGTGAGTGGGTGAGTGGGTGGGGGGTGAGTGGGTGGGTGGGTGAGTGGGTGGGTGGGTGGGTGAGTGAGTGAGTGGGTGGGTGAGTGAGTGGGTGGGTGGGTGGGTGAGTGGGTGGGTGGGTGAGTGAGTGGGTGGGTGGGGTGAGTGGGTGGGTGAGTGGGTGGGTGAGTGAGTGGGTGAGTGAGTGGGTGAGTGAGTGGGTGAGTGGGTGGGTGAGTGGGTGAGTGGGTGGGTGAGTGGGGTGGGTGGGTGAGTGGGTGGGTGAGTGGGTGGGTGAGTGAGTGAGTGGGTGGGTGAGTGAGTGAGTGGGTGAGTGGTTGGGTGAGTGGGTGAGTGAGTGAGTGGGTGGGTGGGTGAGTGAGTGAGTGGGTGGGTGGGTGGGTGGGTGAGTGAGTGGGTGGGTGAGTGGTGGTGGGTGGGTGGGTGGGTGGGTGGGTGAGTGGGTGGGTGGGTGGGTGGGTGGGTGAGTGGGTGGGTGAGTGGGTGGGTGAGTGGTGGGTGGGTGGATGAGTGGGTGGGGGTGGGTGGGTGGGTGGGTGGGTGGGTGGGTGGGTGAGTGGTGGTGGGTGGGTGGGAGTGGTGGGTGGGTGAGTGGGTGGGTGAGTGGGTGGGTGAGTGGGTGGGTGGGTGGATGAGTGGGTGGGTGGGTGAGTGGGTGGGTGGGTGAGTGGGTGGGTGGGGGGGTGAGTGTGTGGGTGAGTGGGGGGGTGGGTGGGTGAGTGGGTGGGTGGGTGAGTGGGTGGGTGGGTGGGTGGGTGAGTGGGTGGGTGGGTGGGTGAGTGGGTGGGTGGGTGGGTGGGTGGGTGGGTGGGTGAGTGGGTGGGTGAGTGGGTGGGTGAGGTGAGTAGGTGGGGTGGGTGGGGTGAGTGGGTGGGTGGGTGGGTGAGTGGGTGGGTGGGCGAGTGGGTGGGTGGGTGGGTGGGTGGGTGAGTGAGTGGGGTGGGTGGGTGAGTGGGTGGGTGAGTGAGTGGGTGAGTGAGTGGGTGAGTGAGTGGGTGAGTGGGTGGGTGAGTGGGGTGAGTGGGTGGGTGAGTGGGTGGGTGGGTGAGTGGGTGGGTGAGTGGGTGGGTGAGTGAGTGGGTGGGTGAGTGAGTGAGTGGGAGTGGTTGGGTGGGTGGGTAGTGAGTGAGTTGGGGGGTGAGTGAGTGAGTGGGTGGTGGGTGGGTGGTGGTGATGATGGGTGGGTGAGAGTGAGTGGGTGGGTGGGTGAGTGGTGGGTGGGTGAGTGGGGGGGTGGTGGGTGGGTGGGTTGAGTGGGTGGGTGGTGGGTGTGGGTGAGTGGGTGGTGGTGAGTGGGGGGGGTTTGTGGGGTGGGTTAGTGGTGGGGTGGGTGGTGGGTGGGTGGGTGGATGAGTGGGTGGGTGGTGGGTGGTGGGTGGGTGGGTGAGTGGTGTGTGTGGGTGAGGGGTGGGTGGGTGGGTGAGTGGGTGGGTTGGGTGGGTGGGTGATGGGTTGGTGGGTGAGTGGTTGGTGGTTGGGTGATTGGGTGGGTGGTGGGTGGAGATGGGTGGTGGGTGGAATGAGTGGTGGGTGAGTGGGTGGTGGGTGGGTGAGTGGGTGGTGAGTGAGGTGGTTGGGTGGTGTGGGGGGTGAGTGGGTGGGTGGTGGTGGGTGAGTGGGTGGGTGGGTGGGTGAGTGGTGGGTGAGTGGGAGGTGGGTGGGTGGGTGGGTGGTGAGTGGGTGGGGTGGGTGGGTGAGTGGGTGGGTGGGTGGGTGAGTGGGTGGGTGGGTGAGTGGGTGAGTGGGTGGGTGAGTGGGTGGGTGGTGGTGGGTGCGGGGTGGGTGGGTGGGTGAGTGGGTGGGTGAGTGGTGGGTGGGTGGGTGAGTGGGTGGGTGGGTGAGGGTGGGTGGGTGGGTGAGTGGGTGGGTGGGTGGGTGAGTGGGCTGGCGTGGGTGGGTGAGTGGTGGGTGGTGGGTGAGTGGGTGGGTGGAGTGGTGGGTGGGTGGTGGGTGGGTGGTGAGTGGGTGGGTGGGTGAGTGGTGGTGAGTGGGTGGGTGGTGGGTGAGGGGGTGGTGGGTGGGGGGTGGGTGAGTGGGTGGGTGGGTGGGTGATGGTGGGTGGGTGAGTGGGTGGGTGGGTGAGGGGTGGGTGGGGTGGGTGGGTGAGTGGGTGGGTGAGGGTGGGTGGTGGGTGGGGTGGGTGGGGTGAGTGGGTGGGTGGGTGGCGTGGGTGGTGTGGGTGAGTGGGTGGGGTGGGTGGGTGAGTGGGTGGGTGAGGTGAGTGGGTGAGGTGGGTGGGTGGAGTGGTGGTGAGTGGGTGGGTGAGTGAGTGGGTGAGTGGGTGGGTGGGTGGGTGAGTGGGTGGGTGGGTGGGTGGGTGGGTGGGTGAGTGAGTGGGTGGGTGGGTGGGTGAGTGGGTGGGTGGGTGGGTGAGTGAGTGAGTGGGTGGGTGGGTGGGTGAGTGAGTGAGTGGGTGAGTGGGTGGGTGAGTGAGTGGGTGAGTGAGTGGGTGGGTGGGTGGGTGAGTGGGTGGGTGCGCGCTAACCACGCTCCCCCACCCCCCACAACACAACACACAAGTCCGTGCAACTCTCGCCTGACAACAAAACAAGGTAAGGCGACAACACAGACTGAACGCAGCACACACTTAGTGAGCCCTCGAATAATTCGTAACCAAGTCAAGAGCTCATGGTCCGACTCGTCTGCCACAGCCTAACAACCCACCGTGTTCTGTTTACGTGACAAACCTTACGAATTGGCTGCGCCGGGTGGTGGCGGGTCTGACGACACATTTATATACTGTATTCTTACGCGATGTGATCGATTAAAAAGTCCTGTATTATGGATATTGGTCGCTGACCCCCAGCCTGCCCTAGACACGTGGGATACGTGGCAAGGGTCACACACGGGACCTCCACGACACAGCCAAGTGACCCCTTCAAACAATGGGTCAGGCAGGTCAACGACCTCAACCACATCTCCTATAGCCCCAGAACATCGTATCACAAACCCGGTGACCTCTTGAAGCACGGACTGCAAGGGCCAGGGTCACGATCAGAGATTGACCACTGATCCTGAGACCTGCCGAGCCCCCGGGGGTAGACGCGACATCAGAGGCATGGCGATTGTTACCGTCATCCCGGCAAGGCGAAGGGGTCACTCACCTCCTTGAGCTCTCGCCCCCCTGTCTCTCTTGCTCTCTCGCTCGAGGCGCCCTTCAGTGTCGCCCCTCTTGCTCGTTGCCGCCTCTTAGCACCGCCGTCGACGATGTGGCGACATCGAGGAGAAAGGCGACTCGCAAACAACTACACGGAGACAAAGGAGCCGCGATTTGAAATCCCACACCAGATTGGGGGCACTCCGCTTTCTCCTACGGCCACGTAACCCTCCCCCCCAACCCCGCGGCGGCCATCTTACTCAAGGAGACGCTTCCTATTGGTTTACAATAGAAGGGGTGGCGGGGGGGGGGGTCTTCCAACTCCCCTACGTAACATGGTCGCGCGATTGACGTTCGCGTGACGTCACCTGACGCTTGGACCAATCGGCGCGTGAGGTTCCCCAAGGCGTCGACGTTGCCCGGATGTGCGCCCGGCGGTCGCGCGAGCGCGCGGTGCCGATGTGTGCTGGGAAATATAATAAAGGGGCGGGGACAATCGCTATGTGGGGGGGTATCAGGGAAGGGGCGGGGTCTAAATAAAGGGGCGGGGCTTGTGGGCGGGGCGGAGGCTTGTGGGCGGGGCAAGGCGAGGCTTGTGGGCGGGGCGGAGGCTTGTGGGCGGGGCGGAGGCTTTGTGGGCGGGGCGGAGGCTTGTGGGCGGGGCGAAGGCTTTGTGGGCGGGGCGAAGGCTTTGTGGGCGGGGCGAAGGCTTTGTGGGCGGGGCGAAGGCTTGGGGGCCGGGCGGAGGCTTTGTGGGCGGGGCGAAGGCTTGGGGGCGGGGCGTAGCAGGGCCACGTGACGCGGACAGCATCAATGGCGGCTGACACGGGAAAAGTCGAGGCGGTTGTTGGCCGCTTAAGGTAAATTCTTCTGGGATGAGCTCGAAAATTCGCTACTTTTAAATGTTCGCCACGCAATCATTGCAACGCCGCGCGGATCTAAATGCACCGATTGAGAATGTTCTTGTCAAGCGCGAGAGGCGCGCGGGAGCTGTCGGCAACGGCGGCGGTGGCCTGCGAAAAAGGCCTTTCATCCAGCAGTGGATCGAACACTGCTGGTCTCGCTGATTATAACAACAACAATAATTACTACATTTACCTCGCGCTATTCATCAAGGATCTCAAAGCGATGTGCAGGATATAGCAGCAACATACACTCGACATGAATCTAAAATAAATGCTCATTGGGTCTATCGGTAAAGTCACCTGAAGATGATCGATTGCCTGCGTTGTGATCGAAACGTCGTGATCTAGCATGTTTATATTCTTAGGTTTTTTCCGGTAAAGTCACGTAGGTAAAACATTAAAATTAATAAAAGTAAAATAAAATAAAAATATTAATTTAAATATTTAAATATTATTTTATGTTTAACCTACGTGACTTTACCGGAAAAAACCTAAGAATATGAATCCTTGCAGTCACGAAAGCTTCAAATCTATTATTTTTATATCGACGTGACTTTACCGAAAGACCCAAGGAGTATGAATTCGTGCAGTCACGAAAGCTTTAAATCAAAATATAAACACATAAAAAAAATTACTACATGAACTAAAATTGTTAATAAGCGGAAGCGTAAATGGATAATAGAGGGTTTTTTTGGGGTGTTAGATTGCGTAAATATAAATGTGTCGTTAAACCCGCCACCACTTGATAGCCAATTAGTAAGGTTTGTCACGTAAACACAACACGCCGATTCGTTTACGAGTGCAGCACACGTGTTGTGTGTTGGAGAGCAAAGCCGACACATTTACAACCCCTATATGATGAATAGGTTTTAAGGCGCATTTACAAAATATTCACAAACTCCGAGAGATTCATCTGAATTCTCGCGGAAGAGCCGTTCCCTGGCCTGGGGGCTACACGGGAAAAATCTCGGTCACCCATAGACCGAAACCTCAGCCTACGGGAATGCTTAGAAGATCTGCATCATGCCCACATCTTAGGGACCTTATGGTGACATGGGTGCAGTATTGTCAATGATTAATTGGGATGCATCAGCGGTTTTGGTTATGGTCGCGTGAATTATTTATAGTGCCGTAGTTACATATCGGCTGTACAGGACTCCCCTCCGCTGTTCTGCAACGTGTACTGCACGTGCGCCTTAGGGAGAGTGTTAAATGTGGTCAGGCCCAGGTTAACCCAGCATGGGGCACCTCTTATAAAAACGATGTGGGTTTGTCGCCTGAATTATGTATCCACACGTAACATTCTCAGGATTGACCGAAGCCACCGTTCACAGTTTCAGTGGGCCTTACCTGGTAAGATAATCATAATTTTCGATTTAAAGCTTTCGTGACTGCAGGGATTCATATTCTTGGTTCTTTCGGTAAAGTCACATAGAAGGGAAATAAAAGAATAAAAATAAAACAATAAAATCCTCAGAACGTTTCAAATTTTCTTGCTGTGGTTTTCACACCTGATGATTGCTTGTGTTGCAATAGAAACTTTGTGAGAATTTTATTGTTTTATGTTTATTATTTTGTTATTTCCCTTCTACGTGACTTTACCGAAAGAACCAAGAATGTAAGATAAACATAGTTTTTTTTTAATATATTTTAAGTGATTTGTTTACCTTTGCGATACAGTCTTTGTATTGTTGTTGTTACGTTCTAACCAGCCCCTTCTGGATGGACCTCTATGAAAAAGAGCTTGAATAATAATTAATAATTATTATTCTTAATAATAATGTATACTTATAAAGCGCGTTTCACCCAGAGGTCGTAAGGCGCTGCACAGAGCTGAAAGTAAGTAAGTAAATAACTCGCGCAATTCTAAAACCTAATTTAAGCCACGCAGGCTCATGATTTAACCACAGGTACAAATACCCCCCCCCCCACCTCCCAAAACACAACCAAATTAATCAGGAGAAAAGGCCTTTAAGTAAAAACTACTTTACGAAACATTTTTTTAATAAACCGAGTGACTGAGCCGATCAAATATTTGATGGAAGTGAATTTCACAGCTTGGAGCCAGCACTGGAAAAGCCCCCCAGATCACCCATTGAATTGAGGTTTGACCTCGGCACACATCAGATTCCTCCAGTATAAATACATATTCTGATATTTAATAAGTTGGAATCCTGTCTCCTCGGATGGAGAACCTGTTCCTACCTCGCTGCACTTGATGTGAGGTCAACTTGAAGCATTCGGGTCGATTGGTGATGGTGCGGTACTCACCGATTCACTCCAGGCACTCGCTTACCAGCGAGCGGTCCTTTCACTCGTCTGTCGCTGCTGCCACGGCCTAGTGGCTTTCAAGACTTGGTAAATAGAGGCGAATGGACAAAAACGTATTTTATACGTAGAGACAGAACGGAGGAGTGTAATTCACCACGAGACAAAACGAGAGTGTTTTTTTTGTATTTTCAGTCACAAATGCTACCGGGCCTTGCTGAGGAAGGAAAAGCGGCGGAGGAAGCGGCAGGATCTCGCCAGGCAGCGCAATGAGGGTGAGCTGTCATGTGGGGTGGCCAGGTCACGTTTGAAAAATAAGTTAATATCACCGTGGGCTTTGGCTGGTAGAACGGGGATGGTTTGGTGTTGTATTTGTATGTGTTTGGGTAATTTGTTTACTTTTCTTGTACTTTGCACTACGATCGTGTTTTTGTATTGTTGTTGTTGTAACGTTCTTACCCGCCCCGACTGGACATCTATAAAAAAAAAAGTTTTATAGCTCATCAGATTCCTCGAGTATAAATAAATATTCTGATTCCGATTGCGGTGGGGCTGAAGTTTGGTGTCTCACTCGCCAACAACTGATGCCATCGAATGAATTACCATAATGTTTAATCGCTTACTTAAATAATAAACAACTCATTCGAAACAGACCCAAACATCGTACGTCCTGGCTTTGACATTCCTCAAAGACACTGGTGTACCATTAGCTACGTTAGAACAACAGGCTGATAGGGCACCACAGATAATTGGTTTTTTACCCTTCTATCTGGCAACAAAACTGACACCTTTTTGCAAGGAGTCATGTTTGCATAGACCGCAATACCTGCAGTCATAATACAAACAAAAGAACGGTCTATGCAAACATGACTCCTTGCAAAAAGGTGTCAGTTTTGTTGCCAGATAGAAGGGTAAAAAACCAATTATCATATTTTTACTGGCAAATGAGGTCCCCATAGGGCACCACAGCTTTATGAATGAAAATGTAAAAACAAGCCACATTACTTGAGTGCGATTGTGACCATGTAACCCAAACTGTGGCCTATATAGTTCAACCACTGTAGCCTGTGCTCCTTCAACAGAAGAATGGCAGCATTACACCAACTCTCTCATGAAGTCATCTGGTCGCCAGCAGACCTCGACAATGACATTTAGCTCAACTTATCGCCATACGCTCGAATAGAATGAATTGTTTTACAAGTACCATATGAAAGAAGGCTCGCCAGTAATGTCGAAGTGTCTCCTTGGTTATAGTAGTAATATTTAGCAGTTATATATCATAGAAAAGCCTCATTAAGGCTCAATAATCCATTCAGGAAGGTCCTGCCTTGGGCTGTTTGGCCAATTACATTTTCAAGGATGTTTATTATGTGGTAGGAAACTAAAGTATCTGGAGAAAACCCACACATTTGATAGTGCTTATCACCCAGAGCTACTGATGTAATAGTCGTAACCTGTAATGGTAATTAGATGTTTTGATCATAAAGTCACATTTTTGTATTTTGGTGTCTGTATTAAAGTTCATAGTTTATTCTATTTATGATTTATAAAACGCCTTTCACCAAGGCGCTTGCCAATGCGTATTAAGTACGGTACAAAATAGCAAAATAATGGATGGGGATAGTGGTGGCATTCATACGTTTTACGGAAACCCACATGTACCCAGCCTAACTCTAAAAAGGCGGGTTATTCAGGGTGGTCAAAAAGTATATGGCTCACATTCTGTCAGCCGATAGCTCAGCCGCTAAGATGACACATTAATCAATTTCGCCTTGTTCTCAATGATCCGAAGCACTTTACCGCATTTACCCTGCCCTGTCCGTCAGTGTCAACTCAACTATAGATGATTCCCACAGCACGAGACAGAAGTTGCAGTCGCGTGTGAGGGCCCATAGTAGATGTACATTGTGCATTGAATTTACCCTTTCCGACAATAACACAGGTGTTAAGATGTTCAAACACCAAATAGACATCTATTGCAAGGCATCAAGGTCCTATAGATAATATGAATTATCATTATTAATTTACCCAGGAAAGCCACGCTTAGTTCAAATATTACATGGGAAGTTTACCAATGTTTGTATGTGTTTAGTTATGGGAGGAAACCCATTTAGAATAAGAGAACATGTAAGCTATGAAAATATAAGAATAGGTTTTACCCTTTCTGGCAATAAAGCACGTGTTAAGCTGTTCAAACACCAAATCGAAACCTTTTGCAAAGAATCACGTGTGCATTAACCACACGTACTTGTGGTGAACATGCAAACAAACATGCTCTGATGATAAAACATTTCAGCTCCACTTGAGTGCCCATGTCAGGAATCGAACCCAGGTCCTTGTTGCTGCGAGGCTGTGCCACCCTGACATCCCCTCTCTGATCAGGGGAGGAAGAGGAGGAAGAGGAGTTGGACGAAGTGCAAAAGGCGAGGGAGGAGCGGCGAATAGAGGCTGAAGTGTGAGTAATATCGTGTGTCTTTCTGACAATGACAGCACATTGTATAAGCAGCTACTTGTACAGCCCTTGTCAATACACTGCCAGATGAGGGCTTCCCCCACACCGGGGGAGTTGTGAGGGTTACTTCACCCCACTGGTCAATGTGGGTTGGTGAGCGCAGAAGTGGGAGCGTCGCAGTACAGTTTGGAATTTTGCGCACTGCCCTCTGCCACGCACATCGTAGCACCTTAGCCTATAACACCTGTTGGATGCGTTGTGGTCACCGATGTTGACACTATCCAGGCTGAAACGCCTGTTTTGTTTCCGACATCCGACAAGATCGGGCACATTCTGAGTGATTTGGTCATCGGCATTGTTTAAACGTACACTCTCAAATAGCCCTGTGGTTCGTTAAGCCTACGTATTAAACAGCCCTGTGGTTCGTTTACACTCGGATGCAGTTTTTAGCTTTTAGTTTTTTAGCTTTATTTTATTGTTGTTCCCACACATTTGTTTTATTTCCTGGCTTTTGATTCATTCGTTGCAGCCCTGCAATGCATTTTAATCGTGATTGTTGTTGTTGTTTGTTTGTTAACCTGTCAACTGTGGACACCATAGAATGCGTGCACACTTGGAGTGGCAGAAACGTGAGAGGCAAGCTCAGGAAGAGTTCCAGCAGCAGCAGGCGCGCGCAGAGGAGGAGCGGCGACGTCGCGAAGAGGAGGAGGTTTGGACGAGCGCTACCATCGTCGTCGTCATTTTAATCCTGTCTTGACCCGGAGCGGTGGTGACAAACAAGGCAGAAAAATAACCGAGAAGACAAATAATTGATTCCGTATTGAATTGGAATCGTGATGCCGAATTGTGACAGTATATCATATGGGGGGCGAGGATGGGAAGGGGGGAGTGTGAGTCTAATAGTTTACTCTCTATTATCTAGGGTCGTAGGGTGAGGAGTGGCCCAAATAAAAATAATGTGGATAATGGAAAGCATGTAAATTAGGCTCTAAAACACATGTTTAGTATACCTACGTAAAAGTAGAATGCAGGATTTGGTGAAGTTGCATTGGCCGTGGTTCCACAAGCAAGAAGAGCAATACAACTCATCACCTTAATCAATCAACGCTGTGGCCTTAAAAAGAACAAGCATATACTGTAATAGGCAATGTTTCAGGCAATGGCCTTTTTTCACAGTGCATAGAGGCCAGAGAGGTTTGTTGTTGACAATGCGTGGAGTTTATTTGTTAGGAGAAGAAGAACACGTCACTTATTATTGCGTCTTAAAGTAATCCGGTTACCGACATTTTGTGGTCGCATGGGCACAGCCGTTGAGCGGCTAACATTTAAACCGGCGCGCACGTAAAGACACGCCGTTACATTTCTTTCTGTTCACAAACACGCTTAATCCAGCCACGGCAAATCGAGAGGGTGGTAACCGTACGCTTGTGCTTGATTTCTGAACAGCGCAAGATTAAAGAGGAGTGGGAGAATCAGCAGGCGAAGGAAAAGGAGGAGAAGGAGAGGAAGGAGGCCGAGCGAAGGACGAGAGAGGTGACGCGCTTACGGAGAGGATAACAAACAAACAAAACTTTGATATCCTCTCTACAGAAAAAGCAAGCATCGATTCATCGTTTATTTGCCGAACAGGTTGCCGAAGGTGTGAATAACCAGAACCAGGAGTGTTGTGTGTACAACTAGAATTGATTCAGTCATATGGCTTCATCTGGGGCTCCCGTATGAGATTTTAACTAATGCCTTTTCAAATAATTTGTGTTTGGTGTGTGGGAGGAAACTGATGTTCGTGTACAGCTCTCTTGTCGACCCGCTGTTACTTGTGGTCCTCCCCATGCCGTGCGGGTCGTGGGGGTTGTTTGACCGCACTTTAACCCGCTGGTCAGTGAGGGTTGGTGAAGGTGGTGAGCATAGAAGTACAGCGAACATCTTTGCTCCTCTGCCATGTGCTGCCCATCACTTCTGATTGCAGCATCGCATCTAATCTCAGACCCCCAGTGGCAGTTATCCCCTGTGTTGCCCAAGGTGACTCGGCACCTCGCCTGCAAATGGGCATCGGTCATCCAGCCAGGGACAATGATTGGCACGTGCAATCCAATTGAGTAATTTGCGGGTATTTTTTTTCGTTCTTCAAATTTGGAACCGTAACGCCGGCACACGGTGTCCTACCTATTTCAAATGACGCCGGGGCATCGTGAATGTTCGCTCGGAAGCCGGCGGCACGTAGTTACGCGCTGCTGCTGGGCCGTGCGACCGTGATGGGGACGCGACGCGTCATCGTTGCAGCTTGCAAAGTCATATTCCTTAACCCCAGGCTACGTGAAGGCTATGGCTGCACACCCCCACAAGCGAGACTGCTTTTCCAACGAGTATCTTTTAAGCACGCGGCACGGTTTGTTTCCGAACGCAGTTGCCTTCGATAGATTTGTTTGTGTGTTTTGGGCAAGAGTGTGTTATCTGTTGCAGAGGGTTTGGCATTTAAAGGGTTGGAGGTTTGAATTAAGACGTAACCCGAAAAACACCTCTTATTCTGCAGATATGCACCGAGGCTGTGTGTCTTTCGTTCCTGTGTGATATCAATTTGAAACTGTTAATGAGAATAAAAGGCTTTAATGTTACCGTCAGGGTTACTGTTATGGCGTTATAGCTACGCCATCCATTGACGCCATTTTAAAACGTTAGTAAAATCACTAGCGTGCTATAACATTCTATACAAGGAAGATTCAAACCCATGCGCACACATCCTGCACCACAGCTTTTGTGCGTGACTCCTGGACAAGGGGAATGTGTGTGTTTTTGAGTTGGGCGTTGAAGCGTGGTGTCAGTTGAGTTGTCTTAAACGAGCTGGAAGGTGGTCGTGGTGGTCGTGGTGATAGTCCCTCTTAAGTAAAAGTGTCGCGGCCGCGTGACATCACTGCCCTGCACTTAACCTCAGCCTGCAGACAACGCTGTGTTCCCGGCAGACGGAGCGGCATCGCCCGCCCGCAAGACGCGCGCCGCCACGCTTCACCTCGCACCGCACTCCCCCTGCACTGCGTGCGTGTGCGCGTGCGTGTGTGTGCGTGTGTGTGCGTGTGTGTGCGTGTGTGTGCATGTGTGTGCGTGTGTGTGTGCATGTGTGTGCGTGTGTGTTTGTGTGCGTGTGTGCGCGTGTGTGTGCGTGTGTGCGCATGTGTGCGCGTGTGTGCATGTGTGTGCATGTGTGTGCATGTGTGTGCGCGTGTGTGCGCGCGTGCGTACTTGCGTTTACTACCTCCTCGCCCCGCAGGAGGCCATACACAAACTGCTGGAGGACTCGGACAAACAGGTGGGTTTTCAGTCCAATGACATTCCACTTGTGTTCTTCCTTTGCTGGAATTATTCCCCCCAAATTATCCTGTGGTCTGCCTTCCTCGACAGACACCCCCAATTATGGACCCCGCCAATTATGTGGGGTGTTCATCTTGAGATGCGGTTGTATTTAGATCCTGTATAAATGCACATTCGGTTTTATTACACAGGTCTCTTCGCAATATGTATACGGGTTCTGCTTTAGTGGATAAACCGCAGGTTACTGCAGGAAACTAATATGAGGAGGGGAGCTCAGTCGGCGGCTTTGCCTGGAGGAACCTCTAGGAAGGGGACTCGCTTTGGGGGCTTGTGTGGGAGCTTGGAGAAAGGAAGGAACGTAGGGGGTTGGCGCCGGGGGGGGTGAATGCTGCTTTGTGCCGTCTTGGTGCCCGCCACCACAATTGCCGTTGTTGTTGACGTTGTTGTTGACGATGTTTACATTGTTGACGTGCAGGCGAAGGGGCGGAGTGCGGGCGAGGACTGGCGCAACCCGGACGCTCCCAGGGACTACGGCACGGAGAGGGACCGTGCACACTGCCCCTTCTTCCTCAAGACCGGTGCCTGCCGCTTCGGAGACAGGTCTCCCACGCCCGCCCCACTCTTCGGGCAACACAATGAATCCACATTGCGTTGCGCTTGTTTGCGCAGGAAAGTCTCCCTAAGTCTCATGACTCATCTTCAGGAGGGGCCCTCTCCAGTTTTCGCAGTAGTGGGGTGCGATGGTCGTTTTATATAATTATGGTCGAGTAATTTTGCGGCACAGTTGTAAGCCTCCCGTTGTATCTAATTCCTACATTTGGTTGTGAGAATCACTTGTGGCAATGATCTATTGTTTTGGATGAATGCTAATCCTGTAGCCGCATGCCACGCACACAGCGAGGGCAAAAAAACATCAAGTCGTAAATCAAAATCGAGAGCCACAGTTTTGTGACACTTTGTCCACCTTGTTCTTGATTCCTACCTCAGTGCAGGACCACCCCCATCAACGAATCCTGAGCCCGTTGAGGCTTTTCCTGAGTAAAGGGGACTGCTCGCCGCTAGCAATGCAACCCCCACAGCAGCGTACAGTTCGTGTTTTGTGCCGGGTGGTCGCCCATCCACAGCGCTGGAAGCTTAGCGCCTGACAGTTGACGACGCGGGACGGCATTGCGGGCCACTTGGCCACAGGCATCTATAGCAGAACATGGTAAAGGCGCAGCCCTGCAATTGCTTGCTCACACGACTGCAGGCAAAAGAGCTTCCACTAAAAGGGGAGCTCTAGAGAGCCCCTGCAGAGGATATTTGGCCTACTCTTCCATGCTGGCTTGGAAAAAATATGGGTGTACCCATACTTTACCCCACCACTACACACATGACCTGCTGATCAACTGTCTGAGCTGTACAGATTTACACTGCTGAGTGAACAAGTCGGGGGGGGGGGGGGTGGAGAGGCCCAGCAATGATTCTGATATTCACCAATGATGTTAGCCACGGCCAAGAATTTTACTCTGGGAATTTAAGAAACAATTACTTACAGGAACGGATCCACTTGTATACACCACCAATGACGTCCTTCTAATCTCCTTCGTCTTAGTATTCTAAGGTCAAGGCTCCGTTCCTCGGGTGATCGGACTTTTGCCAGTGCAGCCCCAAGACTATGAAACGCGTTGCCTCTGATAATAAGACAGAATCTTTAGTGCTATTTAAATCTGCCCTAAAAACTCACCTCTTTAAAAAGGCCTTTCCCCCATAGTTTTGGCCGTTTACGCTGGCTGTCTTATTTCCTGCTTTCCATCCACGGCGTCTTGGGATCCTTGGATGAAATGCGCCTTAGAAATGTAAATGATTATTGTAATTGTTTCAACTGCTGCGCCCCGGCGATGGATCGTATCACGCCAGTAACCTCCGGATCGCGAGTCCAGTCTGCTAACCGTTACAGCGCGGCAGTTGCCTGTATCGATATCCGTAACCGAGCTCCTCCCGTTAACCCGCCCGACGGCCCGCCACCCCCCGCAGGTGCTCGCGCCTGCACGTGCGCCCGTCGCGCAGCGCAACGCTGCTGCTCCGCTCGATGTTCGCGCCGTTCGGCCTGGATCAGGCTCGCTGCGACGACTACGACTCGGACGCCGGCCTGGAGCTTGGCGACGACGACCTCCGCCGCCAGTTCCGCGACTTCTACCGCGACGCGCTGCCCGAGCTGCGCCTCCCGGGCCGCGTGCGCCAGTTCAAGGTGTGAGCGGGCGGCGCCGGTGGGTTTGAAGTTCCGTCCCGCGGGCTCGCGGTTGCGCGCTCTTGTGTGTGCGCTTGCGTGTGCGCTTGCGTGTGCGCTTGCGTGTGCGCTTGCGTGTGGTGTGCACGGTCGGTGATAGCCACCCCACCTCCTCGTGTGCCGTTGCCGGCCTTCAGAGGTGCACGCTAACCGCACTTGCCCCAACAGTCTTTTTGAGGCTATACGGGGGACCATTATCTTTGGTGTCTTAGTCAACCCATGGTACCTAGGTTTGTTCCGTGACCTCCTGCCAGCGGGCCTTGGACACTTCACGTGGCCTCAGAGTGCACCTAGCATGGCACAAGCGCTGTGGTGACGTCACCGCCACTTAGTGGTGAATAACTTTTGGTGTTGGTGTATGGGGAAACGGGAGCGATAGTGTATTGGTTAGCGCGCTGCACTACAAACCCAGCCACCAACACCTGTGACGATTATCTGAACCGGTCCTTGGCCTCCCCTAGGTCGACTCACCCTCAAATGAGTACCTGGTGCGGTGTGTAACCATTTTCACACGGGAGACAAAGACGGCCGGGCGTGGTGCTGGCCAACCTCCCACTCGTGTGCCGTGCCGGCCTTCATAGGTGCTCGCTAACAGCACTTGCCCCAAACAGTCTGTTACAGGCTATATGGGGGGGGAGGGGTGTCTTTGTGCATGTCATGTCATCGACAAAGATCCCCCCTATAGCCTTTGACAGGCTGAAGGGGCAAGTGCTATGAACGAGCAGCTGTGAAGATCAGCACAACGCACAAAGGGGTGTTGTGTCCAGCATCATGCCTGGCCACTCTTGTAGCCCCAGTGCTAACGCTTACACGACAAGCACTTATTTAAGGCTGAGATGACCTCAGAGAGGCCCAGCAATGATTCTGATATCCACCACTGATGTTAGCCGTGGCCAAGAATTAAACTCTGGTTGTTGGATTCGTTATGCAATGTGGGGAACGGTAGTGCAGTCATCAGCGCACTGCGCTACTAACCTGGTTATCCGAGTTCATTTCCGTGGCGATTATCTGAACGGGTCCTTGGGTCTCTCTTGAGATCACCTAAGCCTTGGCGGTGGAACTGATATTTTACTATTTTTTATTCTTTCGAGCTGAAATGTTGCCAACATGTGTTGTTGGTGACCATGCAGAGACCATACGCTCATGAGAACCCAGTTTAATCGCTCGCAGCTGCCTCGATTGAAACCCCAGACTCTTAGCGTTGCCAGCTCAGCCCTCTGACCTCTGGGCTACCTGACCAATCGATGAGCCGAGTGACCGTTTCCTCGACGCTGCTGTTCGACTGGGTTCGCGCTTCTTCTGCCGTGCGCAGGTCAGCTGCAACTTCGAGCCGCACCTCCGAGGGAACGTCTACGTCCAGTACGAGACGTGAGTGCTCCACCACTGGTCGTCACCCGGCTTCCCGCCGGAGAGAGTCCTCGTAAAGCAGGGCGCAACGCAAAACAAGTTGCCTTGTCAGAGAAACCGTGCACACGCCTTTTGTTTGTTGTCCTTCCCCCGCACCTCCGATTAGCACGGCTGGCTACGTACGGTGCGAAAGAAGTTCATCGTATAAACATGAAACGTTCACATATCTGAAACGTTCATATATCTGCAAACAGTCCTGAAACTTGCTCTGATTTGTTGTCTCCAGATTTTTGGAAACACTTTGATCAATTTGGCCAGTTTTCGCTCGAGTTAATCCATAATAGTAACGCAAGTTTATTCTCCGTGTTGGCACATTGGATAGTATTTTTACGAGAGTTACAGTGCATGAGATGCCGTCGACCACAACGATGAAGATCTGACATCGGCTTTGTGTGCGCGAGCGAGATTGTTTAATCGCAGTATCTGGATGGATTGCGACGGCTTGGAAAGGTCTTCACTCAGCAATGGATAGCTCCTTCGTGGCTCTGTACCATCCCGAGAGAGCTTAATTCTCTACATTTGCGCTTCCCATGGCAGGGAGGAGGAGGCCATTCAGGCCTTCCAGATGTTCAACGGCCGCTGGTATGCAGGCCGCCAAATCAACTGCGAGTTCTGCCCGGTCTCACGCTGGAAATCGGCCATCTGTGGTAGGAGAACGCACGACTTTGAGGCACCAGACACCTCCACTGATGTAATAGTCGGACTGGTGAACCGCAGAACAGGTTAAGAGCTGTTCGGAGTCAGTGTTTTTCAAGGGAGACTTGAATTTTAAAGATTGGCAAAGATGCGATGACACATGAATCAGACACGTGGCCCCTTTGACGAAAAAATTGGAACAAAAGAAGAATTGCAAAGGAGATTTGAGATGCATGCTGGATATTATACTGAGACAAGCACGGGGCATTCACGTCGTACTGACTGTTAATTGGGCCTGCACAGAACACCACGAGAAGGAATATGATGCCTGACGAACACGCCTGCTTGTGGAATGACGGTGATCAATGCAAACCAAAGTTAAACGTTAAACGCAGCAAATCTCGTTCCTTCCTCAGGGCTCTACGACCGCCGCCGCTGCCCCAAGGGGAAGAGCTGCAACTTCCTGCACGTGTTCCAGAACCCAGGCAACGAGTTCTGGGAGGCGGACCACGATCTCGAGCCGCGATCTCCCGAATCCCACAGAGGAGGCACCGGCAGCAGCCGCCGCGACCGCACGCCGCCTTCCGATCGGCACGACCGGCAACGACGCCACCGCTCCCGCAGCGCGGAGAGGGGCTCCGCCGCCGCCGCTGCTTCGTCGTCGTCGTCCTCGCTGCGGAGGGGCGGCCGGACGTTGCCCAGCGCGGAGCGACCGACGAGGAGGGACGACGGGAGGTCGCGCTGGAGCGAGCGCAGGAGCGAGCGGTCGCCCGCGGAGCGACGCGCGAGGTCGAGGAGCTGGGGGCGGTCTGAGAGGTCTGAGAGGTCTGAGAGGTCGGAGAGGATGGAGAGGTCTGAGAGGTCGGAGAGGATGGAGAGGTCGGAGAGGATGGAGAGGTCGGATAGGTCACCCAGTGGTAGCAGCAGGAGGAGGTCGCCGGGGACGCGCCGGGACCATGGCGAGAAGAGGGACGGGCGACGCTCGGGGAGCAGGGAGTCCCGGAAGGACGACAAAACGAAGAAGACAAAGAAGAATAAGAAAGAGAAGAATAAGAAGGCAAAGGAGGAGGAAGATCGGCGGGAAGGAAGTCGGCACCAGCGCAGGAGTGAGGAGCCGAGCGGAGTTGAAGAGGCGTCGATCGGCACGGAGACGCCGCGGGAGCCGGCGAAGGTCGACCCGCCAGGGACCGTCTCGGATGACGGGCTGGTTCCGGGCGGTAGCGCACCCACCACCAACGGTTGCGGTGGAAACGGTGACCGTGGCAGCGGTAACCACGGTGATGAGGAACATGCGGAGGAGGGGGAGGAGGCACCACTGCATCTGAACGGCAGGTGAGTGGGAAAATATAAATATGGGGAGGTGAACGTGAAGGCAGTGGGGACTGATTCACTTTGCAGTGGAGAGAGGATTGCTTGTGGATTTAATTAATGTAAAATGTTTTACTTTTGAGTGAAAGAATTGCTTTAAATGGTTAGTTACTTCAGTATTTGCATAATTGTTAGCCTTTGTTTAAGATGGTGGCATTACATGGAGAGGCAGCAAACGCAACACATAAGCAAGTCAAAGACATCACACTCTCAGAAGAGGCAATGTTCGAGACTAACAACAGACTGGCAGCCAAATGAAGGACCCTCCCAGGAGAGTGTCCACCCCGGAGACGAAACATCTGTGAAAAAGACTTTGATATTTTGACTTAAAGCTTCATAGCATCATCAGATTCCTCCTGGAAAAAAATTCTGATTCTGAAACGATGTAATCGGCTTGTGCACTGAGACACTTCTTCTTGGTTCTTTCGGTAAAGTCACGTAGAAGGGAAATAATAAAATAATAAAAATAAAACAATAAAATAATTCTCACGACGTTTCGGCCACAACGCAAGCAGCCATCCTCAGGTGAAGAACAGGTCTGTCGGAAAGACTGTGTCTGAATTCGGACGCTGTCTTTCCGACAGACCTGTTATTCACCTGAGGACGGCTGCTTGCGTTGTGTCTGAAACGTCGTGAGAATTATTTTATTTTTATTATTTCCCTTCTACGTGACTTTACCGAAAGAACCAAGAAGATGAATCCCTGCAGTCACGAAAGCTTTAAATCACTGAGACACTGTTGCATCGCGAGTCTGGCTTTGAAAGGCCTTCGCCCAGCTGTGGATGGACCGTGGCTGTGACAGGTTCACCCCCACACCCCACCTCCCTCCAAACTTGACCACACGATCTCTTGTGCCGGCTGTTGTTCGCGCAGCGATGGCGTCTCGGGGGAGCGCGGAGCGGCCGATGTGGGAGTGTTCGCGACGTCGCCAGAAGACGCCGCGGGATGCGGGAGATCGCAGGTCGCCGAGAAGGCGCGGCAGGAAGAGGATGTGAGCCGGGAAGTGGATGACACCGTGCAGTGGATCCTTGAGAGTTGACGTCAATCGTTGTTGATCAGCCACTTGGCGGCAGTCAAGGCCCCACCACCCACCTTCCTCCTCACGATTCGATAACTCTACAAGATTCAAATCAAGAAGCGGTCCTTAATTAGTTTTGCCACTTGATGGCATTCTCATTCTTTGGTTCTTTCGGTAAAGTCACGTAGATAGAAAATAAAGTGAATAAAAATACGACGTTTCGATCGCAATACAAGCGGTCGTCATCAGGACAAGGGGTTATCCTCTAAAGGTAAACTGTTTATCAAGGTTTGGAGATGGGCGTAGCCCAAGTGTGTCAGCAGTACCAGCAGCATGGGCAGGGCACCAATGCCAACGCAGCAGCAATGCCAATGCAGCAGCAATGCCAATGCAGCAGCAATGCCAATGCAGCAAAGGGCCGCCAAGAAATCGCTGCACCCCGCTCCACACACCACACTGCTGACGGTGGAGGTTGATTGACAAGAAAACACAAGTCATGACCCAAAGTGGTTGATGACATCTTTCCAATGATTGCTGAGTCTATAACCATCCTCTCACGTTTTAAGTCAAAATTCATTCTCATTGTTTCGTTCATCAAATTCTCCCGTTTCCCATTCGTGCCAGGAACCCAATGTAACGTCAACTTATCATACGCGTACAGTCTTCCACAGTTTATTATCCCCATTGCGCTGCCGGTGTTGCGTCACGAGATGGCGGCATCCGTGTGAATCCTTCGAAGCAGAAGCAGTGCCGCCACACTTGTTCGGGGAGCTGGATCTAGCCCTCAGATCTCCTCTCGTGATCTCTGGTCCACACACCCCGGGGGGGCAGCACTTTACCATCCACCTTTGCCGCACAGAATGTAAAATGTTGATCGCATGACCAGTCAAACTGATGTATTTTTTTTCTTACAAATTACATTTTTGCCAAATAAAGTGCAGAATCACACGTCACGTGATTTTTTTTGTGCGGTCATCGGTGACGGAGCTGAGACTCTCTCAACCCGCTACTCTGGAGAAATCCGGTTTAATCACGACTGTACGTCGCCAACTGTGCTAATTGACGGCCTCGATTCCAACTTGGTCTCAGCGGTGTCAACTCTGCACTCTGACCTGTAAACCAATCATATATTCATACACGGACAATTGAATCCATACATTGCGAACCCCTTGGTATCATTTTTTTATCGATTAATTGCTACATCGTTACCGAGATTGTGATTCGCAAATTATGCCAGGTATGTAAGTCCCACACTGCATAGAATTTGTGGTGCATTAAGCAGCAAGAGTGGTTTGCTGTGTTTCTGGATCCCATTAAGGTTGATGTAAAGTTTGACATCGCGATGGAATTCGTTTTTCATCCACTTCTGTAGATAAATGCTCTGTGTGTGTGTGCATGATAACATTGTAATATTATTCTCGGTCAATAACTGAATGTGGCTGTTGTAATTTAAAGGTTGTACAAATTGCGTATTAAGTTTTTTTATTTGTGTATTTTTTGTGAATGCCATGAATGTTTTTTTTTATAAATGGTAAAGTTTACAATGAGAAAAAAACTCTTCCACTGGATTTGTTTATTTCCATCGTGTTCAGAAAGAATGTCCGACTCGTTTGCTGTGAAATCCTCTCGACATTACACGCTCTCAATTTCACCACCACGCACATCGCCTGACTCGCCGACTTGAAACAAGATCACGGGAAGTTACCATAAAGAGGTGGCCACTGTTGTGTCCTTGCACAAAGCCAGAGTTCAGCATAAGTTGAACTTCATTGAATTGCATTTTGATTTTGCGAATATTTCAATCGGTTTAATGTTCAGCCCTTTGTCATCCCGCTGCCAAATGATCGCCCCACAGTGGCATGTCGAATTGGAACTTTGCTACATCGGCCAGTTTGACTTCGCGAGTGTGGAACCCAAGACCTGTTCAGGTGGAGCTTGCCACTGATGTTCGTCATGGCCGGGAATGCCAACTCGGGTGTATGGGTTATGTACAAATAATGGATTTAGATGCACAAATCAAGTTTTTGTTGGGAATTACTCAAGAGACTGGGATAGTCGCATTTGCAAAAGTGACCTGGGTTCGGCAAAATTACAAAATAAAACGAATAAAATGAAAAGAATGTACGTCAATGAAGCAAATAGAAGTCAGACGAGCATCCGTAGGCTGCTCTCTGCTGCCCATTTCGTAGCCCCGCAGTTTATGTAACACTTGGAATGCACGGGTTGGTGCCCATCCCAAGACTTGCAGGGTCAAAGTCCTCATGAGCTTCTGGGATCGGGTGCGTTTATTGCGGGGAATGTTATTGCAGCCTGACCGAGGTTCGTTTTCCAGCAAAACAAAAAACAGCATGAAAAGCACAGGTCGTGTCTTCGCCCATAGCTGGCGAACAGTTGTTAGTGTGGTGGTGTTTGTGTGTGGTGGAGCGGTGGTGTAGCGGTTAGCGCGCTGCACTACGAACCCTGAGACCTTAGTTCGATTCGCACTCACGGCCAACACTTTAGTGGCGATTATCTGAACCCGTCCTGGCCCTCCCCTAGGTCGACTCAGCCTCAAATGAGTACCTGGTGCAGTGTGTTAACATCGCCACTAGGCAGAGGTGGCCGGGCGTGGTGTTAGCAAACCACCCCGTGGTGCGCCGCGCCAGGCTTTCATAGGTGCTCGCTAACAGCACTTGCCCCAACAGTGTTACAGGCTACACGGGGAATCTTTGCTTTGTGTTGTAAAGTGGCATTCTTTTTGTGTCCACAACATCACGCTGACATTAAACCTCTGCGTAACATTTGCAATTATGCCACGATTTACATCGCTCCCCAATGTGACGGGGTTGTTTTTTTTCTCCACACCATCAAATGTTACATTTGGCCGCTCAACTGAAAACCCGTGGACGTTTCGCTGTCCTCTTGATGACCTGCTGCTCACACACTTGCAGCACAATTGTCAAACATTCCCGTCTCGTAATTATAATCTGGCGAGGTGTTGTGGTTCATTTGTGGCAAGATATAGTCGTGTTATATATCCGTGACGCCAGGGTTTGCACAAACTCCAGTCCTCGTGACCCACCCATTTACTCCTGTGCAAATGAACTCCACGCTACACGCGTCCGATGATTGGTAAACCAGTGCCACGTGGCGCTCTAAGAAACTAACGCTGCCTTGATACTGGTAGGAACCTCCTGGTTACACCAGCCCACAGGGGATTATCGTGTCCGTCCGTCGTGCATCATGATTATGCACATATGTGTCTGTATCCACGACGTCCCCACTTGTGTCCCACACGTGCCCCTGAGTGTGTCCCACACGTGCCCCTGAGTGTGTCCCACACGTGCCCCTGAGTGTGTCACACACGTGTCACTGAGTGTGTCACACACGTGCCCCTGAGTGTGTCCCACACGTGCCCCTGAGTGTCTCCCACACGTGCCCCTGAGTGTGTCCCACACGTGCCCCTGAGTGTGTCACACACGTGTCACTGAGTGTGTCCCACACGTGCCCCTGAGTGTGTCCCACACGTGCCCCTGAGTGTGTCCCACACGTGTCACTGAGTGTGTCACACACGTGCCCCTGAGTGTGTCACACACGTGCCCCTGAGTGTGTCACACACGTGCCCCTGAGTGTCTCCCACACGTGCCCCTGAGTGTGTCACACACGTGCCCCTGAGTGTGTCACACACGTGCCCCTGAGTGTGTCCCACACGTGCCCCTGAGTGTCACACACGTGCCCCTGAGTGTCTCCCACACGTGCCCCTGAGTGTGTCACACACGTGCCCCTGAGTGTGTCACACACGTGCCCCTGAGTGTCTCCCACACGTGCCCCTGAGTGTGTCACACACGTGCCCCTGAGTGTGTCCCACACGTGCCCCTGAGTGTGTCCCACACGTGCCCCTGAGTGTGTCACACACGTGTCACTGAGTGTGTCACACACGTGCCCCTGAGTGTGTCCCACACGTGCCCCTGAGTGTCTCCCACACGTGCCCCTGAGTGTGTCCCACACGTGCCCCTGAGTGTGTCCCACACGTGCCCCTGAGTGTGTCGCACACGTGTCACTGAGTGTGTCCCACACGTGCCCCTGAGTGTGTCCCACACGTGCCCCTGAGTGTGTCCCACACGTGTCACTGAGTGTGTCACACACGTGCCCCTGAGTGTGTCACACACGTGCCCCTGAGTGTCTCCCACACGTGCCCCTGAGTGTGTCACACACGTGCCCCTGAGTGTCACACACGTGTCACTGAGTGTGTCCCACACGTGCCCCTGAGTGTCACACACGTGCCCCTGAGTGTGTCCCACACGTGCCCCTGAGTGTGTCACACACGTGCCCCTGAGTGTCACACACGTGCCCCTGAGTGTCTCCCACACGTGCCCCTGAGTGTGTCACACACGTGCCCCTGAGTGTGTCACACACGTGCCCCTGAGTGTCTCCCACACGTGCCCCTGAGTGTGTCACACACGTGTCACTGAGTGTGTCACACACGTGCCCCTGAGTGTGTCCCACACGTGCCCCTGAGTGTGTCCCACACGTGCCCCTGAGTGTGTCACACACGTGTCACTGAGTGTGTCACACACGTGCCCCTGAGTGTCTCCCACACGTGCCCCTGAGTGTGTCCCACACGTGCCCCTGAGTGTGTCACACACGTGTCACTGAGTGTGTCCCACACGTGCCCCTGAGTGTGTCCCACACGTGCCCCTGAGTGTGTCCCACACGTGTCACTGAGTGTGTCACACACGTGCCCCTGAGTGTGTCACACACGTGCCCCTGAGTGTGTCACACACGTGCCCCTGAGTGTGTCACACACGTGCCCCTGAGTGTCTCCCACACGTGCCCCTGAGTGTGTCACACACGTGCCCCTGAGTGTGTCCCACACGTGCCCCTGAGTGTGTCCCACACGTGCCCCTGAGTGTCACACACGTGCCCCTGAGTGTCTCCCACACGTGCCCCTGAGTGTCACACACGTGCCCCTGAGTGTGTCACACACGTGCCCCTGAGTGTCTCCCACACGTGCCCCTGAGTGTGTCACACACGTGCCCCTGAGTGTGTCCCACACGTGCCCCTGAGTGTGTCACACACGTGCCCCTGAGTGTGTCACACACGTGTCACTGAGTGTGTCACACACGTGCCCCTGAGTGTGTCCCACACGTGCCCCTGAGTGTGTCCCACACGTGTCACTGAGTGTGTCACACACGTGCCCCTGAGTGTGTCCCACACGTGCCCCTGAGTGTCACACACGTGCCCCTGAGTGTCTCCCACACGTGCCCCTGAGTGTGTCACACACGTGCCCCTGAGTGTCTCCCACACGTGCCCCTGAGTGTGTCCCACACGTGCCCCTGAGTGTGTCCCACACGTGCCCCTGAGTGTGTCACACACGTGCCACTGAGTGTCTCCCACACGTGCCCCTGAGTGTGTCACACGCGTGCCCCTGAGTGTGTCCCACACGTGCCCCTGAGTGTGTCCCACACGTGCCACTGAGTGTCTCCCACACGTGTCACTGAGTGTGTCCCACACGTGCCCCTGAGTGTCTCCCACACGTGCCCATGAGTGTGTCCCACACGTGCCCATGAGTGTGTCACACACGTGTCACTGAGTGTGTCCCACACGTGTCACTGAGTGTGTCCCACACGTGCCCCTGAGTGTGTCACACGCGTGCCCCTGAGTGTCTCCCACACGCGTGCCCCTGAGTGTCTCCCACACGTGTCACTGAGTGTGTCACACGCGTGCCCCTGAGTGTGTCACACACGTGCCCCTGAGTGTGTCACACACGTGCCCCTGAGTGTGTCACACACGTGCCCCTGAGTGTGTCACACACGTGCCCCTGAGTGTCTTCTACACGTGCCCCTGAGTGTGTCACACACGTGCCCCTGAGTGTGTCCCACACGTGCCCCTGAGTGTGTCACACCCGCTCAATGGGGCTCGTGTTGTGTGCACGGGCTGGGGGTGCGGCACTGAGCGAGTTTGGCTGTCGGGAGCCGGCCACGCGAATCGGCCTCCCAGGCATTTTGCATTGCGACAGCTGCGGCCACGTGTCTGGGGTGGGGGAGGGCTGGCTTGTGTAACAACAACAGCAGCAGCAACAGCAGCAGCAACAACACGCGTGTTTTGCTGCTGGGGTGGGGTGAGTGAGCTGTGTGTCTGTCTGTGTGTGGGGAGCGGTGGTGCAGTAGTTAGCGCGACGCTACGCTACGAACCTGGCCACCCGGGTTCGATTCCCGCTCGTGGCCAACACCGGTGACGATTATCTGAACCGGTCCTGGGCCTCTCATAGGTCGGCTCGGCCTCAAATTAGTACCCGGTGCGGTGTGTAAACATCGCCACCCACCCCGTTGTGTGCGGTTCCGGTCTTCAGAGCTACTTTGCTCACAGCACTTGCCCAAACAGTCTGTTCACGGCTATACGGGGGATCTTGTGTCTTTGATGTGTCCTTGATGTGACGGTGATAGTGGTGGTGATGATGATGGTGCACCTAACCTGGCACAAGCGCCGTGGGGGTTGATGGTGGTGGCGGTAATGTTGTTGATGGCGATTCTAATCGATGGGAGTGATGTCAATGATGGTGAATTATTTCCACAGCATCCGCACGCAGCTTCAGCGAAGACGAGTTTCACATCACAATCACTTTATTCCCGATTTTACTTCGCGAGGTTACTAAGTGCTCGCTCACGAAAGCTCGCCTGCGTGAAGCCGACAACTCACTCGGGTTTAACAGCAGTGGGCCAGTGGCATCGAATTCACGAAAAAAGTTTCTCTCGCTCTGAATTCGCACTGATTTACATTGCAACCTCAGAAGAACGATGTTAGCCAATCGGAATTCCCCTCTTACACGCTTTTATTTAACTCATTCTGTCTGTTGTCGTATCCTCAAATCTTGTAACTCAATTTTAACCCACTTCCCAATGTGGCATCGACTGCAAACTTGGCATACTTATGTCATACTGATGACAATGCCATATTCTATCATTAAAACTAAAATTAAAAAATGTTTCGGCTTGGGTCTAATTGTCCACGCTCAACTCACGTTGGCTGTAAACCACCACGGTCCATTATGGAAGCTTCAGGGCCACTTCCTGGAGTCGTGGAGTTCTGCCATTACTAGTACGGTACATTTCATTAAAGCGTGTTTTAAAAAAGTATTTTGAGATATTTATGTTGAAGTCGATTAGCAAATCGTTTGCCAGTGCTGGTCTATGGCCAATTCGTTTCTCATTGTCAGCCGATGGGCATTCTTTTTAAATCCTTTATATTAAGTTCACTTGCTTGCTTGCTTGCGCGCTTACGACCGTGCAAATCTTTCGGTCGTTTTTAACCCACTTCCCGTGATCCAATCGAGCTGACATTTTGCACACAGACTCGTTGTGCGTGACAATACATTTTCGTTAAAAAAATTCCAAATTTTTACACTTTTTAGGAAAAAAAAAATTATATTTAATTACCAATTGCTTAATGGTGGCAGGCAATCATCTGATCCATAGGTGGCAGCCATCTCAAGCCAGAGGACGAGAGGACTCTAGCCGCCACGCATATAAAGGATTTATAGTGAAAAACTTTGTTTTTACGGGTTAATTTTTTTCAGTTGTAGTCTGTCCCGAGTATAGTCGCTGACGTTATTTGAGTTCACTGACCACCGACTGATGCCACGTGTGTTTGTTTTGTCTGCCAGATACAACGCGCAGCTTTGCCATGTCTCTCTACCGGAACTCTATCTGGTTCGTGAAAGGTCTGCAGGAGTACACAACGTGAGTGTCGTCACTCGATTGGGTTATTCGGATTCTTCTTTTTGTTAAATTGTCAGATTTCGTTTCACGCGATGTGTTTTCTTGTCATGTACAGGTTTAAATTATTTACTTCGTGGGCCATTCCCCGAAACGTTGCCCATTGTATACTTTTCATTTTAAGGCCGCAGTGTTATTAGGTTTTAAAAAAAATCATAATTTACGTGCAGAGTTTGATTCCCGAAATGTTATCATTAATTCCGTAGTGGATAAAATCCTTACCGCTTTGCGGGAAAGTGCAGAAACCGATGACGTGAATAGACTGAAACATCGTCATAGAAATGTGGAATTACCATGAACGCCGGGTGGCCCACGCCTCGCGCGGCCGCTTTTGTCTCCCCATTTGCAGTGTTTACACATCGCAGCAGGTACTTATTTAGGGCTCAGTCGACCTAGGGGGAGGTCCAGGACTGGTTCAGCAAATCGCCACTGGTGTCGGCTGCGAGCGAGAATTGAACTCGGGCCGCCGGGTTCGTAGCGTAGCGCTGACCACGACACTACTGCTGCCCACGCACGGTGACACATGGAGATACACAGAGAGGGACATACTGTAATATAGAGACACGGAGAGAGATGCTGAGGACACAGACAGAACGAGACTGATACAATTAAAAATACATAAAGAGAGAGAGATGGAGAGAGACAAAGACAGAGACACGCAGAGACGGCCGCACGGAAAGAGACACAGAAACAGAGGGAGAGAATTAGGTATCCTTCCAATTGCTGATCTAACATATATGTAATGATCGATGGCTTTTTTGAATATAGATGCCACTATTTATCTTGCTTAGTTGTGCTGTACCTCTATGCCCCCCCCCCCAACATCTGATCTGCCCCCTCCGCCTTCACCGATCCGTGCCGATCGGCGTCGCGGATTTACGATCATGGCCCCCCGCGACCCCCCGCGACCCCCCATGGACCCCCCACAACCCCCCGCGACCCCCCACTACCCCCGCGACACGTGCGGCGTGGGCACGCCCTCATCCAGCAGAGGATCGGCAAACTGGAGGCTGCCGCACGTCGGCGCGTTGGGGCCCACGCTGACCACGGTCTGTGACCCCCCCCTCCCGCCCTGCCAGGGGCGGCTACGAAGCGGCCGCCAAGAACTTCCGGGCCCAGGATTTGGAGGTGGACGCGAGCGGCCGCTCCTTCATGGTGACGGGGGCCAACAGCGGCATCGGCAAGGCGGCCGCCCTCCACATGGCCAAGAGAGGTCGGCGGGAGGTCACGGGGGGGCAGGGTGGGGGGCCGGTCACGAGGAGGGGGGGGGGGGTGCACGGGGAGATCATGGGGAAGTCACGTGTGTGCATGAGCGGGTGAGTGGATGATTGAGTGACAGCGTGAATGGGTAGGTGAGTGAATATATGATGAGTGGGTGATATGATGGGCGAGTGAGTCAGTGAGTGGGTGGGCGAGTGAATGTGTGAGTTGGTGGGTGAGTTGCTCCCTGCCTTTCTTCCCATGTGACTCCGCGCTCTAGAGACATCACTAATGCACGTTGTTGTTGTTGTTGTTGCACTAGTGCGTGCCAGTTGGGAGCGGTAGTTAGTGTGCTGCACTATGAACCTGGCGGCCCGAGTTTGATTCTCGCTCACGGCCAACACCAGTGATGATTATTGTAACCGGTCCTGGGTCTCTCCTAGGTCGACTCAGCCTTCAACGAGTACCTGGCGCGGTGTGTAAAACATCGCCACTCGGGAGACAAAAGGTGGCCGGGCGCGGTGATGGCCACCCTCCCGTTCATGTACCGTGCCTGCCTTCATTCTACTCGCTAACAGCACTTGCCTCAAAAGCCTGCTAAGGCTATATGGGGGATCTTTGCCTTTGTGTGCGGAGCAGGCGGAGCCGTGCACCTCGTGTGTCGCAACCGCGAGCGAGCCGAGCAGGCGCGCGAAGACATCGTCAAGGAGAGCGGCAACCAGGTGCCCACCTTTGACCTCTGAACTGCGTGACCCCCGATGCCTTGTCCACCAGAAGTCTTGTATCGGAGCAGTGGCTCTCAACCTTTTTGTGATGGGTTTCTCCCCCCCCCCTCCCCCGCAATCAAGAGCGCTGGTCCATTACCTTGCAATTCCCTCCCCATCCCTGTCTTTCCCCAAGTTCTCACACCTTTGCTCAGTTCAAGAAACGTATCGACCCTTTGTCTGCTGTACGTTTCTGGCACGCCTGGGCGCCGTGAGCCTCCGGGCTTGCTCTCAGCAACCGTGATGAAACAAAATAATATCCGTGCTTCTTGTGTACATTGCAAGCGGCATCATTTGTCCGCCTGTCAATTCGGTCCGTCGGTGTCCGTCGGTCACAGCGTCTGCTTAGCTCATTTTCATTACAGTCGAGTCGGAGGTACATTCTAACCAGACTAAAAACAGGGCCATGTGCCGTTGATAATTATGAGCTATTCACCTGCCCTGACCATTGACCCGTGTAAAATATATATTTACGATGAGCGAAAACGTGCAGCATGGTAATCGCCGTGGCGTTTTAGAGACTTTCCGCCAAATCGTCTAATCCTCCCGTCTCGCGACAGAGCGTGTTCGTGCACCTGCTGGACATGTCCCACCCGAGCAAGGTCTGGGAGTTTGCGGAAAACTTCAAGAAGGAGAACGAGACGCTCAACGTCCTGGTGAGGAGGGGGAGGAGGGGCGAGTCATTGACATATACGCCACGGTGACGAGATGTTAACTACCTCGCCTGGTATACACGAGATCGTGGGTTCGGCCCCGACCCTGACACCTGTATATTTGCTGTTTGCATGTCTCTCTCTCTCTCTCCCCGTGGTCACGATTTGTCTACGGTTCCTCCGGTTCTCCCCGCCACGTTTAGAATCGACGTGCGGTTTAGAGGATTTGGCTGCTGTAAATTTCCACGCCACGGTGATGGCGATCGCGATGATGATGATGATGGCGATGATGGCGATGATGATGATGACGATGACAATGATGACGACGATGACTATGACGATGATGATGATGACGATGATGACGATGACGATGACGACGATGATGATAACGATGATGATGATAACGACGATGATGATGATGATAATCCCACTTGTTGGGCTACCATTCGTGATGGCCAAGTCGCTTCTGAACAAGAGCTCTGATAGCTCAGTGGGGGTCTTGCCTGGTCCAACATTTTTTCTCATAAAAACTGAAAGATCCACGAACAACTACGGTGATGGCATTGACGTCGTCTTGGGGCGGCCGCTCGCTAGCGGGGTGGCGGGTCGTGTAGCTTCCACGAGTGAGTTTGGGTTCGCTAAATGGATTTTCACGTCTGTATCATTGTTTTTACTAAGCAACGCTTGCCTGTGCAGTCCATTTCCCAAATTCGGCACCTTGCTAACGAGTGCAGCCAAAGATGATCGCACTCCGGGTGGTGTTTTAACAATAAAACTCTTTATCAATAATAACAACAACAACAATGAAAAACGCGAATTGCCACAAAGCAGCGGCCTCACCCTGACCCCGCTCTCGCTGTCCCAAAACGGCGAAAGAAAGAGGACTGCTCCGGCACCCTCTATTTGAACACGACGACCAAACAGACGTAAGTTGTCTCCACCGGCGTGAGGCCACGCAACGCTGCGGCCGAAAGGCCCCCCGCCCCCGCCCGGCGTGGCCGAGCCGGTCGAGCCACCGACGCGCCGAGAGGTTTGGCCTTCCGGCAAACCGCTCGCGGCGGCGGTGGCAAGAGCGAGCGACGTGGTGCTTCGGTCGCGCCGCGACCGTCCAGCTTCGCCCGGGTGTTGGCCAAGTGCCGGGACCACGCAGAGCGGAACGGGGGAAGTGTTGCCACCTGCAGGTTGCGGTGGTTGCACGCGGTGTGGATAGGATGAAACGGTCGTGCCGGGGAGGAAACCTGGACTATCCAGAGAAAATACACTGCCATCACCGCCACCGCCATCACCGCCACCATCGCCACCATCAACACTACCACCATCGCCGCCACCATCACTATCACCACCGCCACCACCACCATCAACACCACCATCACTGTCACCATCGCCACCACCACAGTGCACAAGAGGGAGGGAGCTCCAGGGAGTGTGTCTCTCTCTCCGCTAATGAGCACACGCACTCTCCGCCCGTAGGTGAACAACGCTGGCTGCATGGTGAACCAGAGGGAGCTCACCGCGGACGGACTTGAGAAAAACTTTGCCACAAACACGCTGGGTAAGCCTCGGCGCTTTTGTCAAAGCCTCTGTGGCCTTGAGAGGAAAAGTATACACAGTCGGTGACGTTTTGGGAAATTACCCTTCTGCTTTCTCACAGATGTTGACTCCCTCGCCTGGTATACAGGAGGTCGTAAGTTCGATCCCAACCCTGACGCCTGCTGCTGTATATTTGGAGATTGCGGTGTCTCTCCTCCGTGGTCGCGTGGCTTTTACTCCGGGTCCTCCGGTTCTTCCTTCCACATTTAGAATCAACATCACGCGTTCCGAGCATTTGGCTGCGATAGACGTCCACACGATAGGCCACTTCGTTGAGCTGTATAGCTCAGTGAGGCCTTACCTGGTGAAATAAAAAACATTTAGTTTACATACCCGCTCCTTTTGAAGGCGAGGCGACGTCACTTCGTTGATGTTGCCGTCATAATAATCGTCGACTTGTGACACGCCGTGCCACCACCAAAGCGCCGCATTACAAGTTGACGATTATTATGACGACGTCGTCATAACTTGACTTGTAACGCCCCGCGCCGCTGCCACCGCGTTCGCTCCTCGCTCTCGTCGAGAGAGACGGGGGATGTCTCAAGAGCTGCGAGGAGGAACCACAGATAAGGTGGAAGGCAGCAGCAGCAGCAGCCAGGTAGCGAGGAGACAGCGCCAAATTCCTCCCCAAGCTCTGCGGCCCTCTACGTATTAAGGTGTTACCGGGGAATTAACATGCACGTGGGAGGAGAAAACCCATGCGTGCGTGGGGACAACGACCTACCCCATACAGATGGATCAGGTGGGCTCCACAGCAAGTGTACGGGCTCCTCGACGCCCACGGGAGGACAGTTTCGTGCGACATCTGCGCGCGGTGATTCACCAACCCTCGCTGCTGCCTCCGCACAGCGCTGGACTACAGGCAGCAGCCGCCCCAATATGATCCCACGTTACACGCGACGTCACCTCGTGGTGCACCTTGACGCTTGGCGACGTCGCGTTGGGGAAAAGTCGTTACCGGAGCCCCGTCCGTGTGCGTGATTTGATTGGATGTATTTATGCTTTTCCCCCCACCCCTTGCCGTCGGTTTCATCAGGCACCTACATCCTGACCACGGCCTTCTTGCCCCTGCTGGAGAAGAGCGGCGACGACGCTCGAGTGGTACGAACCGTGAGACGGGGGTGGGGGGGGTAAAAGGTCATCGCGCAGGGACCGCCGCGGTGCATTGTGGGCCCAGGGCCAGTTCTGGATGTGCCCTCAAATGAGTACCTGGGCAGTATGTCAACATCGCGAACAATATTTCAAGTCTATGTAGACTATGTATTTGTTTTTTTTACTTCTTTTGCACTGTACGTAGCCAACCGTGCTCATCAGAGGTGTGGGGAAAGACAACAAACTAAACATGAAAAGCAGTTCTAAAGAACTGAGTTTTCAAATCTAGATTTAAAAGTAGATAGCTCCAGTGGCTTCCTAATATCGGAAGGAAGAGCGTTCCAGACGGCCGCAGAAGCGCATCTGAAAGCGCCGCGCGATGATGCGGTGACCAGCATCTTTGTTTGATGGCCCAGCAGTCAAAAGCTGCTGCTGCTGCGAGGATGATGACCGGAGTTCGCGTGATGATGGTTTATGCTCCTTGACGAGATCAGCGAGGCATTGTGGTTCATTTGTGGCAAGCACTTTGTGTGTAACGAGCGCGACCTTATCGTAACGTATCCGTCCGGCGATCGGAAGCCAACGCAGCTTTGCGAGCACGGGACGGCCACGGTCGGATCTTGCATTACCCGTCACGACACACGTGTGTGCGCACGTGTGCAGGTGACGGTGTCGTCAGGCGGGATGCTGGTGCAGAAGCTTGACCCCGATGACCTCCAGGTGGAGCGAGGTCCGTTTGACGGCACCATGGTCTACTCCCAGAACAAGGTGGGCGCGATGGCCGCTCTACAGTTCTCTTCTCGCGTGTCCCATCCGCTCTCGGTTTCGTAGATAGACTTCGCCACGCTGTCCAGCGCGGGATGGTGAAAAATAATAAACATCATGTCGTTGTCTCGGCCCACCGGTAAGTCAAAGAGCCATTTTCGTAACCAAATTTGAGCGATTGGATAATTCGTCTTACTCGAAATTATGCCTCACATCTTCAGAAGATCCAGAAAAGTCCAGAGTAAAATCCAGGAAGTGTTCGACGCTTGTTGTACACGTGACAAATTTGTCTGTGTCCCGGTGGTGGTAGTGTCTTGACGATACAAACTTGACCCTGGGTCATTGCGTGGCCTAAACCCAACAATCTCTTTGTTTGCTGTTTGGAACGCGATCGCGAGCAGCGGCAGCAAGTGGCGATGACCGAGCAGTGGGCAGCGCGGCACAGAGGCGTTCACTTCTCCAGCATGCACCCGGGATGGGCAGACACACCCGGTAACACAAGAGACACACGCACAACCCACCCGTTATACTGGACTTAGGTACCACCAGTAACACGCACAACCCACACTTCACCTGCTGCTATGCAAATCCTCATTTGGCTCCCGCCTTGACCGGAGCAGTACAAGGGCGATTCCAGGATACTGGCCTCAATAGGCACTCGCTAACAATGCCCCGCCGGCGACGGTGCCGGTGGCGTTGTCTCTGTGCAGCGGTGCGCACGGCCATGCCGGAATTCCACCGGCGCATGAACGGGCGGCTGCGCACGGAGGAGCAGGGCGCCGACACGGTGGTGTGGCTGGCGCTGTCCCCCGCCGCTCGCGCCCACCCCAGCGGCCTCTTCTTCCAGGGTAAGGGCCGAGAGGCAGGAGGGCCAGAGTTGCGACGTCACGGGTAACTCGTCCTTTCCCTCTGCACGATGTTGGCAAACGTAGGTTTTGGCAGCCGTCGCGATTGTCGTTCGCTTGTGAAAACTTCATTGCGGGTGCCACTGCGCTCAGGCTTGCGCGTGTGCACGTCGAACTTCTTTTGCACCGTACGTAGACCGACCGCGCTGCTCGGAGTCGTCGCTCGAGGTCGCCCGCTTCCCTCCCGGTGTCTCCGTAGCCCGCGAAGGCGAACGGCGACACTTGGGGAGTGGAATGTAACGCGACGGTGGGACCGTCGCGATGGCGAAGCGGCTGTTCCTGCCAGCGACTGTGCATTGAGTCGGTGTGGCGTCGCCCCCAGATCGCAAGGCCGTGGCGACGCATCTCCCGCTTGCCTGGACTCGCTCCTCTGACGCCGAAGCGCAGAGGCTCATGGGGAAACTGGAAGAAATCGCCGCGCGGTTCAAGGCCCCCGCTTGAGACGTCCGAAGAATTTGGACGGTCGTCGCCGATTCCGCCAGATTCATGACTTGGGACGTATCCTTGATTGGAGCGAAAAACATTGATTTTGGTAAATTACGATGTTGGGGATGATTTGATGCCGACTGACGTGTACAGCTTTTTCTTGTTTTTTGTAAGCAAACAGTGCCGTCATTTGCGTTGTTGAGAACAGTTCTGTAGCCGTTGAAATGCAAGCGAGGCGGTGTGGGTATTGTACAGCATTCCTATGCAGAGGCAGCAAACTATTTGGAACTTGTCACGACCTGTCATTTCAAACGTTACACCTATTTAAAAGCAGAATGTGTTTGTAAAACATACGAAACGACTTTGCTCATTCTGTCATTTACCGGCACTGATGTAACACAAATGTGTGAACTCTATGAAGTGACTTTCAATGGTATTAAATTTCGATTTAAAGCTTTCGTGACTGCAGGTATTCATCTTCTTGGTTCTTTCGGTAAAGTCACGTAGAAGGGAAGTAATAAAATAATAAAAATAAAACATAATAAAATAATTCTCACGACGTTTCGGCCACAACGCAAGCAGCCGTCCTCAGGTGAAGAACCTGTGTGGGGGACCACTTTATTACTTCCCTTCTACGTGACTTTACCGAAAGAACCAAGAAGTTAAATGGTATTGTTGCACATTTGACACTGGAACATTTTTTTCCTGAATGCAGTGAAAGGTGGAACCCTCACAGGTGGAGGGGGGGGGGGGGAGTTAAAACTCGGTTCACAATTCAGCAGAGCCCCGTTTATTTAAATTGCGTGCCCTGCCCGCACATCACGATTCACACTGAAGTACAGTTTCCACACAAAACCGCGGAGAAACGCACGCACGCACGAGAGAGAAAAAAAAATCAAAACTCAAAATAGTAACTAAACAATAAAACATAAATCTGGAACGCCGCGAAGTATATTTCTCAGATTGTAGGTCCGGGTCGAGGTACAAAGCACCGCCACGCAGGAGCATTCTGTGCTCGCTCGATCGATCAACCGGCGGACTGGAAGTTTTGTATTTACGCTCGGGCGATGTTTCGCAAAGAGCAGCCTGAGCAGGACCGCGGTTCCCTGCTCCCTGGCGAGACGGAGAGCCCCCCCCCCCTCGGGGAGAGGGCTGGTGGAGACAAATCCTGGAGAACACGGGCAGTTCGTTCCGTGGGGGGTCCTAAAAGCCACGCACGCAACCTCACATGTTGTGGTCGTGGGTTTGAACTCGTTGGTCAGCAGTGCTGGATTTAAGTTTAAAAAAAATCCGCGCTGTTGCAAACATATTGATAAAAGTAACAAGAATTTTCCAGTGGATTTGTCGACTCATAGAATGATCACATCGGTGTCCCGTAGGTGTCCCGTTGGTGTCCCGTAGGGGTCCCGTTGGTGTCCCATAGGGGTCCCGTTGGTGTCCCGTAGGGGTCCCGTAGGGGTCCCGTTGGGGTCCCGTTGGTGTGTCCCGTAGGGGTCCCGTTGGGGTCCCGTTGGTGTGTCCCGTAGGGGTCCCGTTGGGGTCCCGTTGGTGTGTCCCGTAGGGGTCCCGTTGGGGTCCCGTTGGTGTGTCCCGTAGGGGTCCCGTTGGGGTCCCGTTGGTGTGTCCCGTAGGGGTCCCGTTGGGGTCCCGTTGGTGTGTCCCGTAGGGGTCCCGTTGGGGTCCCGTTGGTGTGTCCCGTAGGGGTCCCGTTGGGGTCCCGTTGGTGTGTCCCGTAGGTGTCCCGTTGGGGTCCCGTTGGTGTGTCCCGTAGGGGTCCCGTTGGGGTCCCGTTGGTGTGTCCCGTAGGGGTCCCGTTGGGGTCCCGTTGGTGTGTCCCGTAGGGGTCCCGTTGGGGTCCCGTTGGTGTGTCCCGTAGGGGTCCCGTAGGTGTCCCGTGCAGTGGTTCCCCGACCTGTGTGGGGGACCCACGACTAAAACGGACGGACCGTCAACCCTAAAAAAAAAACTTTTTGACGCACCACCAATCGAGAAAAACTTTTTGAAAATATAAAAACCGACGAAATATTCGTTATCTGCTAAGACTTCCACGGAGCACACCCCACGGCCTTGCAGGTCGCTGTGGGACCGTCGGGTGAAAATGATTTGCGTGTTTTGTCTTATCCAGTTGTGTCCCCAAAGTGTGGATTTTCCTCAAAACGCGTGGTGTTTATACAGTGTAATGTATTTAGGTACTAGCGATGCACCGAGTAAGGACCTCCACGCGAGGCGGCATTGGTAATTTTACATGTGTAGAGGTCACACGTCGTAGATGTGACCCCTTGCAGCCACTAGAGGCTCTACATTCAACACTTAAAACAAATCTTTAAATCGCAACCCTGCATCGTGATGATTAACAATTCGCGGAGGGCGGAAATCGTCACACGCCTAAAGTATACAGGCAAAGCATCAGTGTAAGGAATATTGAGCGCTTTAACTTTGAGCGTCAATTTAAAGAGATTGTATTTAACACAAGTGCTAATGGCAACCCATGGAGAATGATTGTACCGCAGAATTCTTTTCAGTTTTGTTAACTTTGTTTTGTCGGGAGTTGTAAGGGTTGCAACAGTGAAACGCGTTGGACCTAAATAAAAAAAAAATCGATTCAGGAAAATGTAACCAAAGTTTTCCAGCGGGCAAATAACCGTAACATTGATGATAAACACAACTATGCATCAATGAACCGATTAACACGACTCTAAAACTCGCGATACACGCATCAACTCGCATGTGTAAGAATCGATGCTCTTCCACCAGCGCGTGTTTTTCATGCAATGGGTTCACGTCATCCCTGCAGCCACTCGTGGGTGCTGCATTCACCATTAAAACAAAAAACACAATGGAACGGTGACACCTAATCGCAAAAATCAAATCATGGGGGGGCCAGGAGGTTCACTTTGAAACATCTCAAACATACACAAAGTAGGGATTCATCTTCTTGGTTCTTTCGGTAAAGTCACGTAGAAGGGAAATAATAAAATAATAATAAATCATAATAAGATACAATTCTCACGACGTTTCGGCCACAACGCAAGCAGCCGTCCCCCTTCACCGGAGGACGGCTGCTTGCGTTGTGGCCGAAACGTCGTGAGAATTGTATTTTATTATGTTTTATTTTTTTATTTCATTATTTCCCTTCTACGTGACTTTACCGAAAGAACCAAGAAGATACACAAAGTAACCGGTATTGGCCAAATATCCGAATGCTGAAAAGCTACTCAGTTGGATTTCCACAACGCAACATCGCCCCCTACTGCGTGACCCCTGGCAAGACCGCTCCTGAAAAAATAATTCTGGAGACTCGGCGAGGCTTTCTCCGGTAAACAAGGGTCATTGTGCACCCGATTCATCAGCACAAAGTACGCTCTACAGCAGAAATTCGTAGACCTCGCCCGCAGTGTAAACAGCACGAGCAAACCAGCCTCCCGTAACGAGCCGTCCTGCCCCATCCCAGGCTAAGCCATCGACCCACGTTCACGAAACCTTTCAATCGTGGAGGTCAGAACCCAGGGAGAGACTGGGCGCACCCCTGCAGTCTTGCCGACACCGAGCAGATGACGTTTTACCACTCCCGGTGGCGACTTTGTTTTGGTGAAGTCAATTTTGTTTGTGTTTGTACCGTCGCGTTTGTATTGGCGGTCTGTTCCAGATATTTATTTTTTGGCGAACCATCGAACAAAGACAGTCACCGCATCGCGCGCCTTCAGGTGCGCTTCTGCGGCCGTCTGGAACGCTCTTCCTTCCGATATTATGAAGCCACCGGAGCAATGCGCTTTTAAATCTTAGATTGAAAAATGTATTCCTTTCGAACTGCGTTTTGTATGTAGTTCGTCATCTATCCCTCGAACTTCAAATTAGCACGGTTGGCTGTGTACGGTGCGAAAGAAGTTCAACATGTACATGCAGCTGGCCAAGGCTTGTCCAGCAACGAATAAAAATCGCGAGTGGTGGGGTGGAAGAATGGTCGGCGTGGAAGTGGGTGGTGTTGGTGGGGGGGTGGAAGAATGATCGGCGTGGAAGTGGGTGGTGGTGGTGGGGGGGTGGAAGTGGGTGGTGGTGGTGGGGGGGTGGAAGAATGATCGGCGTGGAAGTGGGTGGTGGTGGTGGGGGGGTTGAAGTGGGTGGTGGTGGTGGTGGGGGGGTGGAAGTGGGTGGTGGTGGGGGGGTGGAAGTGGGTGGTGGTGGTGGGGGGGTGGAAGAATGATCGGCGTGGAAGTGGGTGGTGGTGGTGGGGGGGTGGAAGTGGGTGGTGTTGGTGGGGGGGTGGAAGAATGATCGGCGTGGAAGTGGGTGGTGGTGGTGGGGGGGGTTGAATTGGGTGGTGGTGGTGGTGGGGGGGTGGAAGTGGGTGGTGGTGGGGGGGTGGAAGTGGGTGGTGGTGGGGGGGGGTGGAAGTCGCCCATCCCAGATTTGATCTAAAGTGAGCAGGGCAACAACGAGCTGTGCCCTTTCAAAAGCAGCACGCGTTGCCCCTCGCCATCGCGTTAGGGGGGTGGGGGGGAACCGCTTCCTGAGAGCCCAGGAGGACTTTAAAACACCTTGGGTGGACAACCACCGCGCGTGGAAAGCGCCGGTCGCTTCTTGTGTCACTGCAAGAGGGCCCCCCCCTTGTCGTGAAGGCAGTGACTGGATGCGCCGTAGTAATTTCCTGGTCAAATGCCCCCCCCCCACCCTCCTCGGGCACCCGTTGACTGCAGCCCAAGATGCTCGCAAGTGTCTATCGTTTGCAGACCGTTGCCGTACGGAATTAGACAAGAGACATCAGTGGGAACCCTGTCTGAGAGCGAGAGAGAGGGTCCATTGCCATCTCACAGTTCACCAGCACAGACTCAAGCGACGAGACACTGTACATCAAAACCAGTTAGTTTGCTTGTACTGAATCAATGCTGCTGAAATCATGCACTCCCCAGAGAGGCCGTTAGGGATCATGGGCTGTGTAAGATTTTATATATATTTTTTTTCTTTACGGAGAGAAAGAGATGACTGCATTTTGTTCTTGGCCATGCCGTGGCAGCATTTTATGACGCCACCCATCCACTGACAAACTCGGGGAAGTTAAATCCCGTCCACATTTGCCGCTTACACGAATCCGATCGGACACATTTTGGCAATCCGCAATCAACCACAAGGGTGCGCGGATACTTTTGCACAACGCTCACGGCCGTTGCGTGAATGTTGTCCATTTGACTGGCGCGTATACAGTCCGCAAAAGTCGTGGCACGGATGGATCGTCATGAAGGGATCGCTGCCCCGTCATTACCCCCAATTCACAAGGCAATTTCAACACAAGAAATCCTTTGTCATCAAAGCCGACTGGCTGGCATGAAAACTTGACGTGGATTCCCAGATCAGGACTGGACTGTCACGTTCTGCTGCAATTTGAAGTCCACAATCCACACTCAAAACAACCCAAAGCCAGATTTTATTTCGTTCACCATGTAATTACCGTATTTTTAACTCTGAATGAGTGCACGATTTCCATGGAATCAGCATTAAATATTTTGGTATGGTAACGGCCAACAGATGAAGTGGGCAACCTGGGATGGATATTTGTCCCCTACAAGTCTGCGTTGCTAAAATGGATCTCGAATTATAAAAAAAAACTTTCTTCAATGAGACTGCGTGCCTATCATTCATGGTGATGTTACGGGAGATAAATACTGCACCTTCATATCCCTTCTTGGCTCATTGTGTCAAGAGGGGGGGGGGGTTTGCTTAGTTACACAATTACACCACGAACTGCAGGTGGCAATGGAGGTATCGGGGTTCCATTGAGGGGGGTAGGGGGGGGAGAAAATCGGATCGCGTGTTGAGCAATGGCACAACACCTGCCAGGATGGCTCTGCCAGAGGAGTTCACCCAGGGCAGGGCTTGCGATAGTTGTACCAAAAAGTACGCGTCCGTGACGCTGTATTTCGCGAGACCGATTCTGTGCAAAGTAAAGTGGGGTCAGGTTGGATCAGGTGGGGTCAGGTGGGGGGTCAGGCGGGGTCAGATCAGGGGTTCAGGGGGCACCAAGCCGGCTCCGCTGAAATCCTGGGTTTGAGTGCGGGGTGTCGGCTGCTGCCCGCGATTAAGCCCAGGATCTCGAACGCAGCGGGCCGATGGCCTCTCTCTGGCCTCGTCGTCAATGACCGCACGGACAAACGAACGAGAAAATAAACTTGGTTTCGCACTCAATTTGGATGCATTCCAGCGGCGAACATTAAAAGCACGTTGTTTGACCGTCACGCGATGAACATTTCTCTGCAGCGGCGGCGGCTCGGGTGGCAAAAAAGTGCACGCGTCATTTAAGTGCGTGAACCAACAAAAAATGGGTCCGACACGTGAAGGGGATTTCAGAAGCAGTCCTGCGGCCGTTCTTCAAACGCACGGGCAACGGGCCCCGCTACCGTGCGAGCGTTCTTGTGCCGAATGTTGCGACTCGTTCGGCGATCGCCGACAGCACGAACGGGTCTCAGAGCCTGCGGAAGACGCTGGCAAAGAGTGACGGCGCCAACAGCGGAAGTGGCTTTTTTTGTTCGGGAACGTGCGCGCTCGGAACGTGCCGGGGGAGCGGCGTCGCAAGCGGTTCCCCCGCACCACGTTACGATCTCGCTGACCTGGGTTCAATTCCCGGCCGTGGCTAACATCGGTGGCGAGCGATATCCGAACCTCCAATAGGTGAACTTGGCCCTAAATGAGTACCGAGTGTTGGTGTGTGAACACCAGCCAGCTTGTACCACTGGCGGCACCAGCCTCGTGTGCGCCATTTTGACCTCAATAGGTGCTCGCTAACAGCATGTGCCTCTATCAAGTCTATAAGGCTGCAGAGAGTCGCTGTTTGTGTGCACACGTGACTATATGTGTGTGTGTGTGTATGTGCGTGTCCACAGATGTGTGTAGCTGTGTTCAAGCACATGTGTGTGTACGTATAGTCGTGCGCATTCATACACGTGTATGTGAGTGCACGTGTTAGTGTGTGTGCGTATCGGTGTTCACGCATTCATTTGTGTCTGTGGCAAACGTATACGCGTGCGTATGCATGCGCATGTATATGCTTGTGTTGCTGCACATGTGTGCATATACATGCATCCCTGTACGTGTGTGCGCACACGCGAGTACTATTATGCATATTTGCACGTGTGTGCATGCGCACGTGTGTGTACAAATATCTGGACACATGTGGGCATGTGTATACGTGTCTGCAAACACATGCCTGTACGCGTCTGCACACGTGCGCGTCTTAAGTGTCTGCGCACAAGTATGAGTGTGCGTGTGTGCGTGTGTGCGTGTGTGCGTGTGTGCGCGTGCCGTGCAGTAAAGATATCGCAGATTGGATGAGCGCCCCCGCGCGGAACGTAGCCACGTTCCCCACGCGGGAGCAGGAGGACCCTGGCGATCGATCGGTGGAGTCCGGGACGGCGGCAGATCTGAGTGTAGCAGGCAGCAGCGGTGGTGGCGGTGGTTCATATTCTTCATTGTCATCGTCACGGTCGTCACCTTCACTTTCTCCCACCTCCACGTCGACCGCGCCAGGCCCGGTGACCCGGCGTGACCCGGCGTGACCCCCCTCACGAGATGACGGACGCGACGTCCCAAAGCTGCGGACGCAGAGCAGGCGGACCGAGGGTCAATGGGTCAATGGGTCAGACGGCCGAGCGGTCGCGCCGCGAGGTCGCCCGGAAAGTCGTTGCTTCCTCGTCGCGTCTCAGTGCCGCGCTGGAGTTCGAGCGAGTGCACTCGATGGGCTGGGGACCGCCGCATCTGACGAGATGTTCAACTACCTCGCCTGCCTGGCATGCAGGAGGTCGTGGGTTCAATCCCAAAGTTCTGTGTTTTTGGATTGCGCGTGTCCCGCGCGTGTCCCGCAATTTGGTTGCTTTAAATTTACAAGGCAAAATCCACTTCGTTGAGCGACCATTTGTGGCCAGGTCGCTTATGAAATAGAGCTACATAGCTCAGCGGGCCTTACCTGGTATAATAAAAATAGGATGTGAAGCTGATGGAGAATTCGCAGTAGGGAAAGTTTTATCTTGAGGTTCAACAGCCCGTTGATTTGTGTCACAATTTTAAATTGTGTAACCTCCAAAACGCCTAAATGTACTGCACTTGCCTTTCTCTTTTTAAACACAATTGCCGAGCACAGACCCGCGCGCCCAAACGTGAAGTGGCCAGCAACAAACAGCGCTTGCACAGTTGCTGAAGAGGTCAGAGTGTAACACGTTTCTGGAATTGAGCAAGGTTATTAGTTATTTTCCTAAGAGCTCGCGAAAGAGAAGGCGATGGGGCATGGGAATCCTTTTGCATATCCACTGCCGGACGACGGGGCCTCCCCAAACCGAGGGGGCCTCCCCAAGCCGCGCGGGTCACCGAGGGTATTTCACCATACTTCACCACGCCGACGACGGCGGCACGCGCGCGTGGGAGCACGAGGCGCAAAACTGGACTGCGTGCGTTCACGAGAGACGTCCCCGACGGCCGTTACCTTCATGACCTTGTCGGTGCCGGAGGTCAGCAGCCAGCTTCGCGTCAGGTCCAGCTGCATGTGCACCACGTTGTGTTTGCTGTCGTGGAACGTGGCCATGGGGGCGCGGCTGCAGGGCACGCACGGAGACGCGCGGGTGAACGTGCAGAGTACGTGCGTCATCACCGCCATCGTCATTATTACCAAGCTTAAATTTCGATTTAAAGCTTTCGTGACTGCAGGGATTCATCTTCTTGGTTCTTTCGGTAAAGTCACGTAGAAGGAAAATAATAAAATAATAAAAATAAAACATTCAGACTCTGCCTTCTCGACAGACCTGTTCTCCACCTGAAGACGGCTGCTTGCGTTGTGGCCGAAACGTCGTGAGAATTATTTTATTATGTTTTATTTTTATTATTTTATTATTTTCCTTCTACGTGACTTTACCGAAAGAAGCAAGAAGATTACCAAGCTTGTTTACACAGCAAAGTCTCAAAATGTCTTGTCAAGCTTTCGCAGTCGGGGGCGACGATTGCCGCGTAGATTCCGATTGGGTAATTTGCGGCTTGCGGGTAATTTTTGTCAAACGTGGACCATTGACGCCGGCACACGAATGCCTACTCCTGACGTGTGAAGCAGACGGCTAATAACACGCAACCTTAGCATTAATCAGGGCGGCCGCTGGATTCGAACCGCGAACCTCAGAATCAAAATCTCGGGATCTTCATTGAGACTGCAGGAATCCGATGAGCCGCGAAGCTCTTCACACACGTTCAATCGGATGTCCGCAACGAGCGGCGAACGCGCCGCCGCTGGGACGCGCCACGAATCAAGTTCCTGCCACCCCGAACGCAAGACGCCAATTCCAGGACCGTCCCCATATCAACAACTCTTATCGCGACGAGTGCTGTGCGTGTGGCGTGGCAGGGGCAAGGGGAACTCACTCCTGGTCGGTTATGGACTCGTAGCAGGGGTCGCACACTCGCACCTCCATCTCGAAGCCCAGCATGGGGATGGTGGAGCGCTGGGCGGTGCACTTGGCGCACAGCGCCATGCCGCACTTACGGCAGTGGTGCTGCGCACGCGCAGGAGGAGGAGGAGGGGAGGAAGACGAGGGGATGAGCACGGTGACACAGTGACACGCAAAGCCGGGGGGGAAGCCAGCCCATGTTCGGCAAGCGACGGGCCGGTCGGTCAGTCGATTCGAAGTGCTCAGGGTTTGGGGTCCTCCCCGTTGCATTGAGCTTTTGAAATAAGCGAATGGCGATGACCCGTGGCGTAGGGGCCCCTTCCAGGGTGCGACACAGAGCGACGCGAGAGACGTTGCTTCGGGCAATGCGAACGAATGATTGAGCCGTGCACAGCTGTGGGGGACAAGCGCTGTCGGCGAGCACCTATTAAGGCCGAATGGTGCAACTGGAATCGTGCGATGACACCGATACAATTTCCATTCGGCACTCGAGCGGATAGCAGTGCAACCCCAATATAGACAACGGCGTCCAGAAGGAGACTTCACAGAACTACTTCCGAGGTACCTACGATCGTCTCCTCTGCACACAACGGGTGCCGCTGCACCTTCTCAATGCCCTGTTGTCGAAGTCCCTGCGGCTACATTGGCCACACACCGCGGTGGGTACTCATTTTTGGTTGGGTCAACCTAGAGGAGGTCCAGGCCAGGTTGGTAAACGAGTTGGCTTGGTGAAAATCACACAAGCGTAATTATCGATGTGCAGCTCGTGTCCACTGTATAATTTTTACATGTCAAATTGAAGCTTAACACCTAAGATTTTCACAGCCAATGCTGTGATTTGTAATTGATATTGGGGTTAGTCTGTAGGATGAACAGATTATTTTGCTCGCCATTACGTAGCCTAACCCAAATATCAATTACGAATTAAAAAAATGTCAAGTCGTACGTAATTTATATTTTTTTAAACACGTAAAACACTCGATGCGCATTCTACCTGGAGCTCTACAAATCGCACGCGCACACACACACATCCGCACGCTCACACACACATCCGCACGCTCACACATCCGCACGCGCACACACACATCCGCACGCGCGCACACCCCCCACGTGTCTCCCGCACGCCTTGCCTGTCTCAGGCCGATGGTCTTGCTGTCCCACATCTGCTTGAAGTTCCAGAAGAAGGGCTGCGCGCACTTCTGGCACGAGTCGCTCTCCAGCCACTGTGGGGTCTGACGCGGTGCAAAGAGGGCGGTCAGGGGGGGAGGGGGGGGGCAGGGTGAGTGGGGTGGGGGGCGCTCGGGGGTGGAGGGGGGGTGGCGTCTGGTAACCCAGGAGGTGCGCGAGCGAGGTCAGGTTCGTGCCGAGTCTACGGACACACGCCCGGGGTGCGGCTCACTTCCCGGAGCGCCTGGACAGTCCGGAGCACGCCCCTCGTTTCACGTTAACATTCTACAGCGTCGCTCGCTTTCGGAGGCATCGTCTTTTTATCACGGAGCCCCCCCTCCCTCGCTCCCCCGCCCCCCTTTCGCGCACCTCCTTGCCGCCGCACGTCCATGTTCCACACGACGATGGATCCGTCCGAGCCGCACGACAGTAGCTGCCGCGTCGGCTGAGCGTAGCACAGGCCCTGCACTTTGTTCCTGAGCCGGCACGTTGGGGGGGGGGGGGGTGAGGGGGTGGGGGCCGGGCAGCACACGCGGAAGAGATAATGACTCCAGGGGTCACACACGGCAGCACACTTAATCCTCGATTCGTACGGTTGGCTACGTACGGTGCGAAAGAAGTTCAACGTACACACACACACACAGACATCGAAATGACGATGTGGCCGGCGATGTGGCCAGGCGCCGCGGTGCCCACCTGTGTCCCTGCAGCTCGATGGCTGTGCCCTTGCGGCCGCCGATGTCCCACATGATGATGGCGTTGTCGGACGAGCCGGAGAACAGCAGCTTCTGCACGGGGTCCCAGCACAGAGAGCCGATGCTCCCTGCAAACACGCGCGCACACACACACACGACAAATATCCTCTGTGCTGTTAGCGAGTAGGACCTGTGAAGCCCGGCATGGCACAGGAAGGAGGTGGGTGGCCAGCACCTACGCCAGGTACTCATTCGAGGCCGAGTCGACAGAGGGGAAGGCCCAGGACCGGTCAGATAATCGTTACTAGTGTTGGTGGCCGTGAGCGGGAATCGAACTCGGGTTGCCGGGTTCGTAGCGCAGCGCGCTAACAGCTGGGCCACACATGCACGGAGTGACAGTTTCCCCCTCGCCCCCCATCCAGCCTGCATAGGCCGCTTGGTAATCTGTGACGCTTTGTAATCTGTGACGCTTTGTAATCTGTGACGCTTTGTAATCTGTGACGCTTTGTAATCTGTGCCGCTTTGTAATCTGTGCCGCTTTGCTGTCGCCTGTTGGCCGAGTCGCCCCTTGAGAAGGACGTGGAAGCTCAATGGGCTTCACTCGCCAAGTTCACTTCTTTTGAACTTCTGGGTTCTGTGAAGTAAAACAGCGGCAGCTCGATTGCAAGCCTGCCCCTTGGGGCGGGAGTCTAGCTGTGCTTATATCCAGAGTAGTGTGCCTGTATCAGAAGTTTATCTTTGCCTTCCACCCCCTTCGCCCACCCCCACAGCCCACCAGTGTAAAGTCAGCATGCGTTGCTTAATTCAGAAGTGTACGTATGTTGAACTTCTTTCGCGCCGTAGGTAGCCAGCCGTGCGACGGTTATGCCAAGCGCTTGGGATCAGACCCTTCCATCCGGGCCTCCGTGGCGCCGAGATGTTAACTACCTCGCCTGGTATACAGGAGGGCGTGGGTTCGATCCTGACCCTGACGCCCGCTATATATTTGGAGTAAGCATGTTCTCTGTCCCTGTGGTCGCATGGATTTTCCTCGGGGTCTTACCGGTTTTTCCAAACGCATTTAGAATCCACGTGCGGTTAGAGTTTTTGGGTGCTAAAATCTCCACATGATAAGCCCACTTCGTTGCGCTATCTATTGTGTTTGCCAGGTCGCTTTTGAGAAAGAGCTACATAGCTCAGTGGGGGCCATACGTGGTCAAACACAACACAATTTATAGTTTAAGAGCAGGGTCACCCCAGTGCAGGTGCACCGCCTGCGCACTCGGCAGGAGGCGCGGTGCCACGGCCCAGGCGTTACCCGTGTGCCCCTTGAGCGTGGTGATGATGCTGCAGCTGCCCGCGTCCAGCTTCAGTACGGTCACCTGGCCCGCGAAGTCGCCCACGAACGCGTAGTGCGACTCCACGTCGTACCTGGCGGGCGCCGCTCGTCAAGGAGGCATCGCCCTGGAGGCTGGCGCCACCGCGAAGGATTTGCCAACCTCTTCTTGGTTCTTTCGGTAAAGTCACGTAGAATGGAAATAATAAAAATAAAACATAATAAAATAATTCTCACGACGTTTCGGCCACAACGCAAGCAGCCGTCCTCAGGTGAAGACCAGGTCTGTCGAGAAGACTGTCTTCTCTGTCTTCGCGACAGACCTGTTTCTCCACCTGAGGACGGCTGCTTGCGTTGTGGCCGAAACGTCGTGAGAATTATTTTATTATGTTTAATTTTTATTAGGTCATTATTTCCATTCTACGTGACTTTACCGAAAGAACCAAGAAGATGAATCCCTGCAGTCACGAAAGCTTTAAATCGAAATTTGCCAACCTGTTCCCGGCTGCGAATCTATTAAGCCGCTTTTTACCGTTTCCGAGACGCCCGAAAGTTGCAGGGTGGGCTCCCGTTCACCGCTGAAGCTCGGGGCGGTTCAGCGTTGTTGTTTTTATTTGAGGCATAGCGCCACCATGTTTAAAGGCATTGTAATCATCGCAGGGAACCGTAGCGACACGACCGCCACTCTATGACAGCTGGTGCCAAACTGTGCCACACGTCCTCCCGCATGGCCTTGTGGGAGCCTCGGTACGTCTTCTGACCTGAAGACGTTCCGATAAAGTTATTTTATTAAAGTTTTTCTTCAAGTTCTGTTCGGATGACGTACACACACACGTACATCATCGGAACGAAATCAGAAGAAAAACTGAAATAAAATAACTTCAGGTCGAAAGACGTACCGAGGCTGATGACGTACTACCCCGTACGTCGTCGGAATGGGAAAAACGACACGTCGCATCTGCTACAATTGCTTGCGAGGATTGTTCTTCAACTGACAATGACACATTAAGCGCTTTTACACGCGACAACACAAGTTGTTTGACTGTATCGGGCAGTGGAGGGTCTTACGACACAGATTTGGTCACGTGGTTGCATTGCCTTACTCAAAAGCCAACTAAGAATAAAAATCCATGCCCCGTAAACGCACAATATATTTCTGTTAACCGGCTTGTTTTTGTTTTTCGCAACAATGACGATGAGGAGGGGGGCAGCGGGAGGAAGTGGAGGAGGACGAGGTCGGACGAGGAGGGAGGAGGTCGGACGAGGAGGGAGGAGGTCGGACGAGGAGGGAGGAGGAGGATACTGCAGGCAGGAGGCCCAGGCGGCCGTGCGGTGCGAGCCCAAGCGGGTGCCGTTCTCCGAGCAGTGCCACGTGAACTGCTTGTCCTGACCCGTGCTCAGCACCCACTCGGACTCGAGCACAAAGTGCACGCCGGTCACGCGCTGCTGGTGGGCTGCACACACGCGCGCACACACACAAAGACAAAGATCCCCCAGATAGCCTTTAACAGACTGTTGGGGCAAGCGATGTTTAGCTAAATACAGTTATTCGGCGCAGGTTTTACCATATATGAATTCCTGCAGTCACGAAAGCTTTAAGTCAAGATTTTACTATAGGCTGGATCGATGGCCTACTCCAACATGCTCACAGTTAATTCATGTAAACCAAAAAAATAGTTTTCGTTGTTGCTTCCTTTGTATGAATGTTGAACTTGTTTTGCACCGTTCGTTGCCAACCGTGCTAATCGAAAGTGCAGGGGAAGGACAACAATCTAAGGACAAAAATCAGTTGTCAGGAAATTAGTTTTAAATTTATATTCAAAAGTGCATAGCTCCAGTGACTTCCTAATATCGGAAGAGCGTTCCAGACGGCCGCCGAAGCTCCAATGTCTACCCTCAGACTCTCCACAGCCAAAAACTAATTAAAATGTCACGCGGTGCACAAGCATTTAACGCCGCGCCAATTACTATTTCAGCTCGCTGGTAAGTTCAAGACACTTTATTCATAACTAATTGAGAAACTTGGTTCATGAGAATTGTTATTGCCACAGAAATTTTGGCGGATCATTACGTGACCGAACCAAAAACTCACATTGGCTCAAAAAATCTGCACGCTAAATTTAATTAACGTTTTATTTTTTCCCCCCTTCCAAAAGGCAGAGATGGTGACACTAAGCGTGGGCCTCGGAGGCTGGGTGTCATCCGTACAGCGACTGCACGATCTGGCGGAAGGAAGCGACTGCGAAGCGTGGTCACACAGACGGCAGTGGCCGCGGTGACCTCTGAACCTCGACCTCTCCCCCCTATTCCACAGCAGCGTGACGTACCAGCGTATGTCCTGGTGCTCGTCATTTTATTGAAGTCTTCAGACATCGAGAACTCCTGTAAGAGAGGCAATGTCGGATCACATTGGGAAATCCCTCCGGCCGCGTGGCTCGTAGCGTACAGGCACGGCACAAACCGTGTTCGTGAAACGCACAAATGCGACCAGATGCTGTGCAATCGAGGTGGTTCGCGACTGTCCACGGCCAGTGGCGGCTCCTGCAAAATCTCTCAGGGGGGGCAAATGTCTGGATGATTGATAAGGATAAGGTCCACCCATGCAATGAATAAATTAACAGCTTAAGCATGTAAAGGCAACTTCACTTCTTTAATATTAATGAAAAATAAAGTGACTCTTACAATACATCTTGTTTGTTTATATACTCACTATTAAAACAAACCACTCAAGTTTATTTTATTAAAGATTCCACTAGGTAGCGATAAATTATATTGTTGGATGAAACGTGCTTACGTATGATGACGTAAGCACGTATGATGACGTAAGCACGCTAGGGCTAGCCCTCCCGGAGCCATAGAGAATGCATTGGAGCGCCCCCGTTCGAAAAAAAACATCTTTCAATGTAAGTCTATGGGGCCACTCGGGGCGATTCTCAGCCGGAGTGAAATCGCCCAAAAAGAGGCGGTACTCCACAGAACGTGACATGACGCTGATTGGACTATATCCAGAGGCTGCAGTGACGGCTAGCGTGACTCTGTGGTTGAATGACATTGGTGGTGCGTCGCCCAATCGCCCTAATGAAGAAACCGCCCCTGTCCACGGCGACGTTCAGAGGGGGAGTCTGGGGGCCGAGGAGTCAGGGGGCTGAGGAGTCAGGGCGGGCGCGAGTCGGGGCGAGTCGGCGCGAGCGTCTCGCTCTGCTGCGGTCCACGCACCGCCACGGCTCCGTTGTCGAGGCCCACGAAAAGTCGCCGTGTCTCAGGGTTGTAGGACATGGTACTGCAGGCCACTGTGCCGGGACACGCAGCACACACGCACAAAAGACAAAGATGAAGACCCCCCCCCGTATAGCCTTTACCAGACTGTTGGGGCAAGTGCTGTTCGCGAGTAGCACCTATGAAGGCCGGTACGGCACTCGAGGGCGTGGGTGGCCAGCACCACGCCCGGCCGCCTTTGTCTCCCCAGTGGCGATGTTTACACACCGCGCCAGGTACTCATTTGAGGCTGTGTCGACCTTGGGGAGGCCCAGGAATGGTTCAGATAATCGCCACTGATGTTGGCTGCGAGCAGGAATCGAACTCGGGTCGCTGGGTTCGAAGTGCAGCGTAGCGCTAACCACCACACTACCGCTCCCCACACGGCACGCACACAGCACGTACACAAGTACACACAGCACACAAAACGCAAATGCAAACATCCACGCAATACACACCGCCTACGCACGGCACGTGTGCACAGCGCATGTGCACAGCACGCGCACAGCACGCGCACAGCACGCGCACAGCACGCGCACAGCACGCGCACAGCCAATTGCACACACACGCACACGTGCACACACGCGGCTTCAAACACCGCACTCGGCAAAACGGCGCAACCCAACAATGGTGGTACAACAGCCAGTAAAAGCATAAGTGGCGGCGATGGATAATTGGGTAAATATATATTTTTAATGTAAAACGAAAGTAAAAAAAGTAAAAATGACCGGGAGGTTAATTTAAGAATTCTTAGATTCAGACTTGGGCTGTAGAGTGTACCCTCGAAATAGCGGAGAAACTCAGGGGTGGGGAGGCTGCCCCGGGGATATCTGCTTTCTCAACTTTTATATGTCATGCAAAGTTAAAGAGCAAAAAGAAAGGGTGAAACAAAAAACAGAACACCGAAACCACAGAACATCTATAGTGGACTACACAGTGAAGTACTGCTGTGGTTACTGTAGAGTTCGGAGCAAATGAACTGGGACTGCCTGGCGCGTGATGCTTGCGGGCAGCGTGGAGACGCGGTCCGTGTTTCTTTGCGCGCCATTCATTTCATTTTTATTTACTTTCTAACAGTACGACCTTTCTGTCGGGAGCTGTGGATTTACAACATTGAGTACTAGAACTTTCGATTTAAAGCTTTCGTGACTGCAGGGATTCAATCTTCTTGGTTCTTTCGGTAAAGTCACGTAGAAGGGAAATAATAAAATAATAATAATAAAACATAATAAAATATTCTCACGACGTTTCGGCCACAACGCAAGCAGCCGTCCTCAGGTGAAGAAACAGGTCTGTCGTGCGACAACTTTCCCTCGCCTAAAACCCTCGAAACCGGTTGGCACGACAGCAAAAATACAGTGACGAAGCTTATTCAGACCGGACACGCGTGCATATTTCTGTGGAAATTATTCCCCGAGTTAGAGAAAGGGAGTATTATTTGCATAAACAAACGGGTTATTGTCAAAATAAAAAAAACGTTGCCCGGCCTCCTCCTCTCGTGCGAGAATGCCGACTGACCGGGCTGGCTGCACTCTACGGCTACTCGCGAGGAATTCTGTGTCGAGACACGGACCTGCCTTATTTCAATAAGCCCCATGGTTACTTGGGGGAACACCCTCAGACAGACTCCCACCAAAGCGCCCCCCCCCCCACCCCCAGCCACTACACGTGGGACGGGATCTATATCTGCCTGCATTATTCCGACGGCGCGCTGTACGATCTTGCGTCAGCAGCACAACGCTGTGCGGTGGAGGTTGCGGTGGAGGTTACGGCGGCGGCAGCAGCAAAAGTAAACACGACACACTCAATAAGCGAGCGGCAGCGGCCAAGTGAAGGGAGTCAAATAATGAAAAGGTGACGACGGTGCGGAGGAGCGCCGTGGCAGGGCACCGAGAGATTACGTGGCGGACGACTCGTGTGCCCCCCCTCTCTCTCCCACTCGCGACCACTTGAATCATTTAAATCCGTGGATCAGAAAAAGCGCGGCAGGTAGAAAAAGGGGGCGAAGCGAGAGCCGGACGGTGGAAGGAGGCTGCGGCAGCACAAACGCTCCGCGCGAGGTGCAGGAGGCGTACAACGGATTTTTATATTCACTTGCTTTATACAGCGTGTCCTCACCACGCCAGGCCGATTTCACCGGTGCGGTGCGGCCCGGTGGATTAATTTTCTTTAACAAGACCACGGTATTTTCCAATGGAGACCACATTTAGCCCATTTAAAGCTTGTCGTGCTATTTTTTTAAAGAGCTTTTTACGTGAATAAAACACGTTCCTTCGTGGTGGTGCCGAGCCCGCCCCAAGCGCTCTATGAAATACAAATCGAGGGCGTGGCTATGCACGACAGTCAGACAAATAATCCCTGGTGGGCAGTGTGGAACTGTTGTTCCTACTTGTAAAACATAATATATATAGAAAGCGATATGAAAAGATCAATACAAATAAATACGACTGAAACTACCAAATATTGACATCTGATTCTAGAAGGCGCAATCCAACGCTACAGCCGGTTGACCGTCCGGTTACTAAACTTGGGCTGCACCGGCGCGCCACGTTTCCACGGAGCACGGCGACACAGACAGCGACGAGCCGCTATTTCTCTCCACGCTGTTCAACGTTCGAGCTTCGCGAGTCCAATTTAATTTTTCGAACAATTGTTTTCCTCCTCACTTTTTAGGGGTCCCAACTTCAGCCCCGTTATACGCAGCGCGTGGCACATCCACCACACTTCTACGGGGGGTGCCACTGTGGCGAGATGTGAACTCCCCCGCCTGGTATGCAGGAGGTCGTGGGTTCACTCCCGACCCCGACGCCTGTATATTTGGAGTTTGCGTGTTCTCCCCGTGGTCGTGTGGATTTTACTTCGGGTCCTCCAGTTTCTCCCACCACATTTAGAAACACGTGTTTAGAGGATTTGGCTGCTATAAATTTCACGTGATAAGCCACTTTCGTTGAGCTAACATTTGTGGCCAGGTTGCTTCTGTGGGTCTTACCTGGTAAAATAAAAATATTTTTTTCTGTTAAATTTCGAGGACCCACGACACTGGCTTTATTTTGGTAGGAAGACCCAGCGTGTTCAGAGTGTGTGTGCGTGCGTGCGTGCGTTCGTACCTGGCATCGAATGAAACACGCTGGGCCAGAACTGGCCACTGTCCCTCTTGATCCACACGCGTATGGTTCTATCAAGACATGGGATGGAGAGGGAAGGGCGGTTGAGATGCGTGTATGCGTGCGCGGGTGGGTGGGTGGGAGAGAGTATGGGGTCACGGGGAAAGCACGCGCAGTTTATACTCCACTGAACAGCGACCGCACACAACACAAATAAAATCGCTAAAAATGACTTGGCATTCAGTCTTACTCGGCTTTGAGTTACAAGTGTTCGCCACGTATAGGTTCATTTATTTCTAGATTTGAAGCTTTCGTGACTGCACGTAGGTAAAAAATTAAATTTAAATTTTTATTAATTTTTAATTTTATTTTTTACCTACGTGACTTTACCGGAAAAAAACCTAAGAGTAGGTTCATTTACATGTAACATTCTTAACATTGCGTGACGGAGAGACGACCGACGTCTCGTGCTGCTGGATCACGACAAGAACTAATTGTGGAACTTGTATCGTGCACAGTTTTTGCCAACGGACTACAGCTGGCGGGCGACTCGGAGGAGCTGGAACTTTGCCCTCCGTTCACCGAGCAAAGGGGGCAAAGGGTACCGCTACATTGGGATGCTTGGACATTTCCATTCAGGCACGCCATCAGAATAATACAGGCAGATATAGACCCCATCACACGTGTGGTGGCTGGGGGTGGGGCGCTTTGGTGAAAATTAAAGACGGTGAACCCGGATAAATCCAGCTCACGCGAGGAAATAACACTCGGATCGATATATAATTGGCACCATCTCGATACCATCGCCGTATCAGCAGTTGTCGTCCGGTTGCCACGCAATAGATAGAGGATGAATGACCTGCAATCCCTACTCACTTTCTTTTTAACGTTGTCCAAACACGGACTGTTGCATACTCTCGATCGAAGGTCGATCGCTTCGCTACTCGCGGATCGCAGTGAGCAATGCTGCACGAGCTTTGGAAGAGGTAATGACTGAGTTAACCCTGAAGCGGAGCGGCGCTTTGCGACCTGCAGAGTGGCGAGTGGGTGAACACTGCGAGGATGAGATGAGACGAAACGGTCTGCTGGACCGAGTCTTCAACACAGATGGAGGAATCAACGAGTTAAGTTCACGGCAGCGGTAACCACGGTAGTAGCGATATTAGAACGGCAAGCAGGTAACTGACCGCCTCCATAATGGTAACCATACTGACTGTGTGATAACAATGAATGAGCTTTTGCTCAACATCTTTATGAAAAAAAACTCTACTTTTTATTTTACCGGGGAAGACCCACTGAGCTGTATAGCTCTTTTCCAGAAGCAACCTGGCCACAAATCATAGCTCAACAAAAGTGGCTCTTCATGTAGCAATGTATAGCTGCCAAATACTCCAAATGCACGTGGAGGGAAAAACCGAAAGAACCGGAGATGAATCCGAGCGTCCACGAAAAGAGAACACGCAAACTCCACATATGCAATAGGCGTCAGTCGGGATCGAACCCACGACCTCCTGTACACCAGGCGAGGTGATTAACATCTCCTGGCCACCGTGGCAATGTCTCCCGGGAAACTCTGCCAGGATTGCGGAATCGACCCGCCCCATCGCCCGCGTTGACCCCCACGGCGCTGGCGCCACTGCTTGTCCCTCCTCTCCGTGTGCCGTCAGCTGCCCCCCCCACCGCGCACGCGCGCCAGGCTAAGTGCCCACGCCCTCGTAGTACCGCGTTAATGGCCTTTGAGCACCCAAAATCCCGCGTGCTTGGGGTTCAACACACACTCGTAACCATGGCAATGGGCTTGAGAAAATTCTGTACACCATACTTGTGTGAACGTGTGTGCGTTTATGGGTATGGGGGCAGAGGTGGTGCATTGGCCAGTCATCTCAGTCAGTCAACCCATTGCACCTGGGTCTGTCCCATGACCTCCTGCCAGAGGGCGTTCGACACTTCTCGTGGCCCTTAAAGTGCACATAGCCTGGCACAAGCGCCGTGGTGATGTCACCGCCACTTAGCGGCGAATGGCGGTTGCTGTTGCTTGGGTATGGGGAGCGGTGGTGCAGCACTCGGCACAATGCGGTACGAACCTGGCGACTTGAATTTGATTCTTAACCATGGCTAACATTCAGTGTCGAGTGATATCGGAACTGGTTGTGGGCCCGTCCTGCGTCACCTTGACCTTAAATGCGTACCCTGGTGCAGTGTGACATCAGCAATGGGGAGACAAAGGCGGTCAGGCATTGTACTAATCACACCTCTCACTTGTGCGCCACACGGCCCTAAATAGGTTCTTGCTGAACAGCACTTTTTCGTACAGTCTACAAAGTAAATGGGCGGTTCGACCAGGTTGTTCCGTGTAGAGCAAGTGGCTCGCAATCAGAACTTTGCGAGTTCAAATCCTGGTTGGGGTGGGGGGGGCTGTTATCTTATCTCATCATCCCTCTAGGGTCGATAAAATAAGTACCACTTCGTGAGGTCAACAGTGGTTACCCTATTGATTTAGGAATTGAGAAATTCCACCACTTGCTCAGAGCTGCGAGCAGGAGATGCGCACCGACGCCCCGAATGCTCGCTCAGCAGAAAATAATTTTGACTTTGGATTCAGTGCAGCAAGCAGCAGCCCACCAAAGGTCACTGCAGTGCTCAACCGATTTTAGGCAGAACAAGAAAACAAATGCAATGGAGGGTACTCAATCTGATTCACTTCACAAGTGCGTACAATCCGAGAAATGTGCAAAATGCGTTATGTAAGTATATAAACAAATAAGAAAACGTAGCACTCACTTCCACAAAGCCTCCGTGTGGTGATTAATCACAGGCTTCCTGCCGAGCAAATTTTTTACGGAAAAAAAATATACATAACGGTTAAGCTCAGTGCTGAGCTGGGTATAGGGGACCCTATTGGCAGTGTTGCTACAGGGAAATTAGGTGTCAAAGAATGCAAGTCCGCAAAAAAGCAGAGTGGTGCATGCTGGGATTGTGCTGAGAGACAAGAAATGTAATAATTCTAGATTTGAAGCTTTTGTGACAGCAAGATTCATACTCTTAGGTGTTATCGGAAAAGTCACGTAGGTAAGAATAAAAATATAAAAAATATTAATAGAAATAAAGCAATAAATCATTATATTATTTTATTTCTATTATTATTTATATTCTTTTTATTATTTATTTTTGCCTACGTGACTTTACCCAAAAAACCTAAGAGTAAGAAATGGAATACACAGATTTCAGATTTATTTATTTTTACAAAAGTTTACGATTTTTATTTTACCAGGTAACCTGGCCACAAATCATAGCTCAACGAAGTGGCTCTTCATGTGGACATTTATAGCAGCCAAATACTCTAAACGTGCTTTGATTCTAGATGTGGAAGGGAAAAAACGGAGGACCCAGAGAAAAACCCACACGACCATGGGGAGAGACACGCAAGCTCCAAATATGCAGCAGGTGTCACGGTCAGGATCAAACCCACGATTTCCTGTATACCAGGCGAGCTATTGAATATCGAGTCACCGTGGGGCCACGTGTACAGCTTGTACACGTGGCCCCACAGCTTGACACCATCAGATAGACAGCTGAGGATAGTCGGTGAGCGTGGGCAGGATGCCTCGCTGGAACGGACGACGGGCACGGGCATCAAGACGAACGATGGAGTGGCAGCCAAAGAAGGGAACTCAGCCGCGCCCCACTGCGGAGACGGAGCAACGAAATCAGCTCATGTGCAGGAGGGAGCGAGGGTTTCCCGATTCACCAAGGATTTTTTGCGTAAACAAATAAGTTGCACGTAAATGCCGTATTTATAATCCGAATGAGCGATGTAAATTCTAATCGTGTGCGATGAGGTTGAGGAAGCCGACATTTGTGACAGTTATGGTCAGGGCTATGATTATAACTCGGCAAATCCTATTAGCAAAAAACGACACTTTAAAAAATTATAATTGGGCCCCCAGAAGATGATGGCCAGGAGGTTAACCCTTTCCCGTTCGCTTTCCCGTTTCCGATGATGTGCGTGTGTACGTCATCGGTTTTTCTTCCCGGCAAAAATCTAAATTAAAAGGCCATGCAGGGAGGGAGTGTGGCGCAGTTTGGCGGCAGCTATCGTAGAGTGTGGTCGTGTTGCTACGGTTCTGTGCAGCGAGTACAATACGTCTTTAAAAACAACGGCCGCTACGCCTCTCGAAATAAAATTAACGCCGAACCGCTCACGCGTTCCTGAGATTCAGCGGAGAACGGGACCCCACTCTGCTACTTGCAGTCGTCCTGTAACGGGAGAGGGTTAATTGGCTTTCCTTAGACACCAGGGGCTCAGTGGTATGGGGGTCCACGATCGTGGATCCTATTACCCTCGGGGATATCCATCACATTTACTTCTCTTAGCAGCGGGGTTGATAATCGTGGATAACTCCGTGGTTAATGTGTAATTTTCACCGCGACTCTCCAGTGAAAAAAGCACAGATAATACATTTCCATTCAGCAAACCACTTACGGCAAAAATCGTGGAGAATCTTGGATAAGAGGAAGACATGATCCAGTGGATAAAGGGAGTATGTGCCGAGCCTACAGCTGGTACAGATAATAGGAGTCGTGAGGATAATAGGGCCACGGATAAGAGGAGGAATCCTCCTTATAAAAGTTATTCAATGCGTGCCGACTGATCGTGGTGAATCCGGGATGGGGCGGGAGGGGAAGGCGATGGGGGCATCCGCCTCCCCTTTGAAACCCCGAGAATTGTTTATTTGTATTGATTTACCAGAATATATATAAAAAATAAAATGACATCGGGGCCCCTAATTAAAGGCTTGACATATCGGCACGGCCCCACCGCCCCCCCCACCCCCACTCGGGAAAATTGCTTCAGCTGCCTCTGCCGACGGACAACACATTTTCTGTATTATTATGACGAGGATGAATGAATGTCAAGCCCTGCGGTTTTGAGCACTTGTTATTTATTTGATTTTAGCGACACTCGGAGCTGTTTGGACAGAGGGCACGATTCATGGAGCCATCGCTCGACACGCGGCTGTAAAATTCTACTGCCATCACGCGACAGCACCGCCACCACCACCACCACCAC